TGCCTGCAAGGGCAGAATTTTTTTTTCATGTCCACCAGAACAGCACAAAAATCCATAAATGATTAAATCCCAATGATCTTTCATTCTCTACTCCTCCACTCCTTCATATACATCACATACAGGACACAAGTTTTCCAATTACAGTATTGGAGTACCATTCTTTGCACAGTGAGTAATAACTAAATACTCTAGTCATTGAATAAATCCAAGAAAACTTGTGGGAATATTATCATTGAGATTTCAATGCTCTATTATAAAGGAGGTTATTGGTTGGGATTCTCTGCCAAATGTCAAAAGGGGAAAGCTATTCTCTGTCTTTCGTACATTAGGGCAAATTATCCCATGTGACACTGACAACTTTTAAATTGTGGAGGAAATAAAAGGAATGCCAGTGACAAAGTGGCTGCTAGAATCTTGCGGGTGGTGTCACTATAGAAAGGAATGGGAAATTAAATGACATAAGAATGGTGTTGTGGTCATTTTTGCTTTTGATTGCAAAAAAATGTGACCTCAGCTCCACTACTCAAAATGACTGAATATTATGTCAGTCTATAACTAGCAGGTGTGTGTTTCTTACCATCAGATAATCTTAAAACTTTTTCTACTTTAAGAACAGTTTGTTGTAGTTTGGAGTCTGTCATTTCTAATTCATGTCCAAAATCATCTAAGAGCCTTGAAAAAAAAGACAACGAAAATATTATTTTATGATTAGATAATGGGGATAAGAAATAAGACTAAAAATGGATATTTGTGAAAATGCAAACAAATTTTTCAACACAGAAACTATGAACCAAAAAGGAGGGTCAATTTGAAAGATACTTAATGCTTCAAGACAGAGAACTTTTGGCTTCAAGACATGAATACTAACCACTATGCTTTACAACAATAACTACCAGAACCATAGTCTCTTATTATCACATAAATTTGTGTTAACCTGATGCTTACCAATAAGTTTCTGTGGCTCACTGAACAGAGCATTCAATTATAAAATCAGAACTGAATGGGGCTTAAATGCTCATATATTTTATTGTCTGTGTAATAATTTTCCCTAATTCAAAAAATATTCAGCACCTTGAATCTACTGCATTTCAATGGAATGGCATATAGGCAAAACCAGACACAGTCTAGTAAAGTAATACCAGATTACTTTTGACACTCCATTGAAAGGGCCTTAAGCTGAGCAATTACTGGGTATTAGGACAAAACTTACAGATTTTGGTCTTCAATTTCATCACCAATCTTCTTTCCCATGGTTTTCAACACTCCAACGCTGTGTCCAACCATGTCAAGCTGTTCATCTTGAGCTCTAATCATTAACTTCATGAAAATGAAAATAATGACTTAAACTATATGGAATTATGAACCCAGAAGTAATAATGATCCATGTTTCAACAAACTTCCTCTTAGATTAAAAAACATCATCATTCACTGTCACAGACAATAGCCATCTCAGGATTTGTCTCACCCAGAAGATAGGAATACTCAACTAGTACATAATTATTTGCAAATAATGCCATGTTGTGCAATAATCTTCAAATTCCAACTATGGCTCAACATACCATTAAATATATCATTAGATTTCATTTGTACCTAATCTGTGCAGTGTAGCCTTGCACAGAAGCTCTCTAAAATTCATTTAACCCTTATAAAAACGGTATAAGATTACACTGTTATGAAGAAGACAAGTTTCATTAATTGTAATGTGCACTCTCTATTACCTCCTGTTGTTGCTGTTGGTCTGTGATAAATGCTTGATTTGAATTCTCAATTTCTTGATCTAACCTTGAGTATCTGTCTTTTGGTTTATCATTTCTTCTTCCCAACAAAGCCTTGCAAAAACACAAGAACAATCTTCATAGATAATCATGAAAAAAACCTTTAAAGTGGTCACATCATCTCTTCAAAATTGTGTCTTTTATAACTTTGTAATTAATTTTTTTAACCAACATACGATAACTATCTGAGGACATCTCCAACATTTAAGTGACATGTGTAAGCCCCAGGGAGATTTTCAAATCTTTTTATTGAGACCTGTTCAAGGTAATGCAGTCTCATTCTGTGGACATGACACCGCAAAGTGTGGCAAGCAAACTATCATTTTATTGATATCTTATCTCTCAGGGATCATAAAATTAAACGAAAAAAAAGAGTGAACAGAAGAGGAAATAAAAATTAATAATGAAGATTTATTAAATGCATAGCATTTAACATTTTTCAAAGAATATTTGATTGCCTTGTTTATTCTTCAGCCAGGTCATAAATGTATTATCCAAAGAGTCAGTAACATCAGCCTCAAACCCTCATATAATCATAATACACTATTGACAGTAACAGAATGTAACTGGTCCCTCACCTCTCTTGATGAATTCTCCACCTTTGCTTTTGCTGAAGGGCTGTTCATATGCTCTTTAATGAGATTCACAGTATCTCTAGTTTGTTTTATAAATTGTTTTCTTTGATCAACTTCAGCAACATCAATGTTGAATTTCCTTGGGTTTGCTTCAACAATACCCACTGTTTCATCCAGGTCTTCTAAATCCCATTCAATACTCCGCACATTGTTGCGCAGTTCATTAGTTGTCCAATTATATTCATCTTTCCCTACAGTGTGAGGATTATCCAATAGGGCTTGCCACCTCTTGTATAGAGACTGCACATTGTTAACTGCCTTCTGTACTTCCCTAACAAAATAAAAATGATAGTTTATAGTCAGCATGCTGTCTAAGTATTTATTTAGTCACTTGACTGCTAAATATTCCACTGGATGTTTAAGCCACACTGATTAGAGCCTTTGCTTTAGCAAGGATAAGTGATTCTTAGTGATTCATGCCACTGAATTGTGTTTTTGGGTAACTCTTAAAGTTTTCCAACATCCATTCCTATAAAACCTGGTAAGAGCTAGACAGCCCTATCTCAGATACCTTAAATAAAGAATATATTGGGTACTGTATGCTATTAACCTTTTCACTCCCAGAATTGGCTGAGAAGGTTATTTCTCCTAGCAATATTAGAACAATATCAAGCAGACAGGTGATGAGAATAACAAAGTATCAGCTTGAGGACACTATGATTCAAAACCAAATTCTCTTAGGAGGTAAAGGATTAATACAGGTTTTGCAGAATAGGGGTAAAAGAAAAAATGATAAAAAACCCATTATATGCTCTACTTGACCTCTTACTGTACAAAAACTTGCTCAAAAATACTACTAAAATTGATTTCAGGAGAGAAACATGGATCAAATTTTATTTGAAAGATTATTCTTAGTTTCATTTGCATGGTTCCTCATTACGTGCCTGTTCAATACAGGTGGAAGACAATACAAACAGATTTTACTGCGTAAAGGGTGACCACAACTGTTTAATAGAGTTGAATGCCAAATAGAGGATAAAATGACAGTAACTATAGGAAAAAAATTTGGGACTTTCACCAAATAACACAGGTGACCCCTTAATACACTGCCACTTAATACTGGTTCAAATGTAACTTGAAGAAACAAATTCATGGAAATCTGAATGGCATTTAAGAAAATGTAGGCTAAGAGGTTGATACCGGTTGGATGCAAAAAAAAAGGGCAAGAGAGGAAATATTTTATCCTCCTGACCCCAACCTTCTGCCCAACCATCACTCTTAGACTTTCCACTATTCACTCCTTCTTCAAGGGTAGAGCCAGGTGGGAGGGAGGTTCTGGGGTGCCATTGACACCCCCTCTGCGAGCCTTTTTTTAAGCAAACAACCTACTGTATTCCTATTGTACCCTCTGTTTGACACAGTGTGACCCCCCCCTCTTTTGAAAAATCCTGGCTATGCCCCTATTATGGTTTTTCTCAAGGTTTATCTCATCTTTCACCAATCTAAATTGGCTGCAATTATAGGAGGCAACTCTGATCTGAAAAATAACTCATGAAGTGTGCCTTAATTACACAATATAGCAAAGGAGATCACAGGAGAAAGAACCAAATTTAGCATCTTCCTTATTCTGTTCAGGAATCAAACTGTCACTAAGACTATTTATACACTTTTTTGCAGCTCATTATCTCTAAGAATCTCTACGAGAGATGGTTTGGTAGCCTATTGGTGGCAATCTCATCTTACTTTAATGCAAGTTGGTTTACATTACTAAAAACAGAGCAAAATCTTGAAATAGACGTTTCTTGGTAAGACTATCAATAAAACACCGAAAATAACTTGGTGACGTATTGTTTATAAAATAGTAAATAAATCGATATTATATGCAAGGTCGGCCATCGCGTAATCGGAATAAACGCATCCGGTTGTACTGAAAAAAGAAGAAAAAAAGAATACTTCCTACGTTGTAATTTCGGAGTATTCTTTGATATCAAATCAATCACTGAAATATATTTGGATGAGTTTAAAGTCTAAAAAGATGTATTCTAGGTTCTGAGAAATATTGTTGCAAGATCATACAACAAATTTGAGCGTTTCAGCGTACATTTTGCTTGTACAGGTATTAAAATTGTAAGAAATTACCTCAGTAATCTGCGACACTAACACCACTGAAACGATTATGTTTTGAACAGGATTTCGATCGGAAAAAAGAGAAAGCTTTCATATTAGCTTGATCCCATCTCACGACATTCCTCCTTGTCAAAGAGAAGCATTCTACAAAAAGATAAACATCGACATGGCGAATCTACTTACTCTTTGACGACGAAAAACGGATCCTCCAGAGACATCTCTTGATTAAAACGGTTCTATAACATTAAATGTCTCGCTAAAGTAAGAGATACAGGCAATCCACGTTGAGAGAGGCCGATACAGAAGCTTACAATTCTGTTGAATACTCGACGACGCTAAAAGCCTCACAGCTGATGATAGCCGCCATCAGTCACGTGATCAATAGCAATGTTCTTCCGGTATGAAGTGAAGTTTTCGCTAACGTCACTTCCGGAGAGAACAGTCAACAACACTGCAGCTGCTTACACTTCAGTGCTTCACTGACCAACTCGCAGGCTCAAAACAACTTCGTAAGTGATTTCTGCACATCGTTAAACCATTGTTGGGTTGTCCTTGGTGTGACCTATGGATGTGATGAAAACTTCTTAATCGTGCGTCCGTGACTGTCTCGAGGAAGAGTTGAAGAAGGCTTTTTTCTTTTGAAGTCAAGGATTTCTCATCGCTTTCGCCTTAAAGGTTTGTGTTCTCATCATTGCATTGTGACACGTTTAAGGCGTTTTGTTTCGCCGCTGAAACTTCTACCAGAGACAAAGACATCATCACAGACCCGTGTCACAAAAAAAAAATTACTGGTATAGAGCTTTTTTTTAAAATAGCATTTGAACGCTTGGCTCTGAATGAAATTGAAGACAACGGGACATGACGCTGATGTAGGTTGTTAAAATTATTTGTTTACAAAAAGCGTTTTCGTTACTTAAGCCGTGTAAAACGCACCCTTTATCGAAAAGCGTCTTAAAGACTTTAAAGACCTTTGATCAAGAAATGATGTCAGTGTTATTTTCCAACTGCGATGAACAGCAACAGGGATAAGCGAAAAATCGTTCGTAAATCTCCCAACCCGTGATTCCCATCTCTATTTTGTCGAACGTGGATCTTACCTACTAACATAAAGTGAATACACGACTTTACAAGAATTTAGATATTCGTCTAGATGTATATAAACATGTAAAATATCATTGGTATAATTCTACATTTGAATTTCACTGTTACTAGTGAGAATGTCGCAAAATCAGAAACAAGGGCTCCACCGCTAAAGTGAAACACTAAACAAGGTTTTCCGCAACTTTACTTTGGCTACAATCCTTGAACAATCATCATGTCGCTCTGTGTCCTAAAGCATCACGTCCGGACCAATGAATTTGGTTTAATGGCTTAGTTAAAAGTAATACCCAGTTGCTCAGCATTGTAGCATCTGAACATGGCTCCGAAAAGTCACAGGTTTATCTTGAGGGTGGCAAGGTGTTAATAATTAAAGTATTCTCTGTTAAATTTGTGATGCATGAAATACTATTTAAAGTACATGTAACCTGTGATTTTTCTAAGGTGGTGTATGAAGTGGGATTAAGACCCCTTGCTACTCTCAACCTTAAGCTTGCAACTCTTAAGATTTTTTTTTTCTACAAGTATTCTTGTGTCATGCATTGACTAACACCATGGTTAAAAAAATAACATTTGGGCTAGGTGTACAATAAGCTTGTGGGAACTTTTCAGAACTGCAAGAGAAAGCTTTTTGCACTTTTTGAGTGGCTAAGACAGTGTACGGGCTAGTTATTTGAACCACGTTCCAAACTATTTTCAATTTGACCAAACCTTTTACCTGAACATTTATTTTTGTGAATAGTGTCAAGAGGGCTAAAAAACTTAGAGTGGAAGGACATTTATTTCATTAAATCAACCTTCTTATAGAGAATAACTAGGCCCACTTCAAGTGTAAAACTGCAGTTTGGGTTAGACTGCATGTAAATTACTGGCTCTAAATGTTTACAGATGAGCAAGACATTGACTTGATGCAAATTTTTGCTTATAGGGTGTGTCTGTCAGTAAGATGTGTCTGTCTCTTATTTAGAGTGGTATGGGTAATGAAGGTCAGCTCATGAGCGACTTAGTGGACATTCTTCCTGAAAATGTTATGAACTTATCGTATGTCATTCATGGTGTTGGATAACAAAGAATTCTCCAGCTACTGGTTGTAACTCTTCAGAAATATTTGAATGACTTGGGCAATTTTTTTTCATTCATGGTATGACAAGTGTTTGGCTCTGATTAGAAAACAGCTAAAATGAATTGCACTTTTTTTAGAATTTTTTGGTGTTGTTGTTCTAGTTGATTTTGTCATAGAAGCAAGTTTTCCGATGAAATTTTTCAAAATTTCATAAACATTGATTGTAATCTGTGTCACATATCCTCATACTCTCAAGAAATGTGTGAACCCTTCCTCTTCTCAGATCTTAGGCAACATTCTCCTTGGCAAGTGCCAGACATATCATTCCATGTTACATCAGAGGATTTGATATAAGATAAATTCCATATCTTCGAGTTGATTATTTGTTTGATTCCCATAATCTATATACTTTAAAATGTGATTGTGTAAGTAGGAGTTTCCTGTTAAAATGTTAAAAATAGAAAAAAAATCACTCTGCAATGCAGAGTTCTGCATTCAAAGTATTCCTTTAAACACTACAACTCCTAATTGGTATGTAATTATTTACTACTGGCACTTTGGATGTGTTACATACGGCAGGCAACCATACAGTCTTGAGCAATATAACAATTATTTGGGTATTAGCAGATTGTGGCTGAGCCTAATTTTTTTTAAATCTTGTCACCTCCTTGGTGAGCTGATAACGTGGAATATTTATTTTTCAACATGTGTTTCATTGGTTCAAACTGTCAGAGACAAGTGTGCAAAATGTGAACCAGATCCCTTTATGTGTGATGTTTGTTCATAACAAATTTTGTTTACATTTCCTTTGCTGTTTATTTCAAATGAATACAGATTCTAGTTATGAATTCCTAAATTACCTTGTTTTTAATTACTTGACTTTCATTTCGTTTGGAAATATGACTGAAGTTAAAATCTTTCATTTGTTTATTCATTGAGCAAAATTTTAGGTTCCTGATAAGAAATTCATGATTTAATCTTAGACCTTCAAAATAATTTGTTTTCAACTTTTATTTGTGTATTTTTCCGTGAAAAACCATTTCAGATACATTTGCAATTTGTCCTTCCACATTCCGTGTTTAAAAATTCTAATTGCAGATTTGAAACGGGGCCATTTTGGCCACCCGTTCTCTCCTTATTTAAGAGCGACCACACCTTGGGAAATGTCCAATTTTGAAAAAAGCACTGACAATGGAAGCTTTATTGAGGCCACATTCACTTTGTAAGTAACATAACGATCACCTGTTTGATATTGCTGATAATTCGATAAGCGTGATCGGTTTAATTTTGAGTTTATTCTGCGACAACGGACGATTTTTGTGGCTGAGATCGGTTGCGATCAGAGTTGCAATGTTCCAATTACTAACTTAATTCAACTGAGATTCGTACGTGGTTTTTGGGGGTAGTACGTCTTAGCTGCGCTTAGCACAGTTAGCTAATTGACGGTTAAATGGACGTAAAATATTTTTTTTGTTCAATTATGTTCAAACATCACTTAGATCTTAGATGGAACGCCGTATGATCACCACCGCAAGGTAAAAGCTCGGGTATTTTTTTTTTTTTTTGTACTGACCGTAATTGGCGTTTACTTTTTTGTATGAGCGATTTATTGATGGTTGCAGCCCCCTGAAATATCAATCGAACTGCTTAGGGTAGAACATAATTGGCGTACATATATTTTGCGCAAAAATTCCTATAACTTAGCAATCCTTTCATGCAAGTTTACCTTATTTTATTATCTGTTTTTTTTTGTGGTATGGAAACATTGTTGTAAGATCGATGATCCTTTAGAATGAATGTTATGACATTTTTGGCGAATGCTTATCAAAGTAGGTAGATAAAGCATAGTGATTAAGTAGTTTGTTTTCGGATCGATTTTGAACGCCAAAATTTACATCCTAAGTCTGTCTCAGTTTTTACCAAATTTCTAAACAAGATTTCAGTTTAAAGCGTGTCTTTGCAAGAGTTTGATGGCACAAAGAGGCATTATTCCTATGCTAATGAGCTGGTTCATTCCCATGGCATTCTTTACTGTTGAAAAGGGACTTTATACTCGCAGATGAATAACATGGCTTACCTTACAGTTCCTTATCAGCGTTAGGTATTGTTGACTTTCCAAGGCTTTATGTTGATTCAAATTTATTTGTTATTCTAGTGTACCACAAGCTAACAGTTGAAATTTGGCCAACTAAGAACTGAATTTTTTCACCCGAAAACGCGCCAGGTTTTTGTGGGGATAAAGTGTACTATAAAATCCTACGTAACAGCATTTCATAGGGAGATCACGATAATTTTTAGACGCGCATCGTTACATGTACAAGCCCGCGTTTGTGGTTACTGTCATTAATACGGCCCACTCTCATGAAAGGTGAACAAAAGGTGTGTATGTGTGAGCGTTGTGTAATTTATACCTGGTGTACAAAATGAAATAACGTTTTTTGAGGTCCAAAATGTGAGGCAAAGTAGCAGGATTGTTTTACTTTTTGTCGCTTTATATTACCTGGAGTGGTAAACCTAATCTCAATCGATGCGGTCCAGTGCCGGAAAGTCCCAATAGTAGGCTAGAATCTCTCTTAACGGTAAAGGATGCACGAATAAGTTCTCCGCCGCTTCACAAATTAATTTTGGGAGATAAATGGGGATCATGTTTCATGTGATATTAGAAGGAATAATTAATTTTCGTATTTTAAACTTGGGAATCTTGAATTTCGTGATGTAGTGCAAAAAAAAATGAATGAATTGTAGATATCGAAAACAAAAATCGCTGATGAATCCTGATTCGTTGTGCAAAAATATTCAGGAAGAGCCAATTACGAAGGTCAAATGATTCTACTGACACCCCCGAAATTGATTTTTTTTCCTCGTCAATTTAGTATGAGGGCAGCTAAGGTTCGTCTGCACAAGCGAGTCATTCTGTGCGATTTTGCCATCCGATTTAGAGATACAGTAGAACGTCAGAGAACCTACGAAGTTTTTAAGTTTATGAAACGGCGCCTTTGGACTCCTCACCTTCTCTCCGGCATTGAGAAACAGCAATTAACACCCCAATCTATTTTCTTTTAATGTATAAAAGGTTACACAAATCAAAGGGTTATGAAACACAAATCAAAAGGTATCAAAAGGTTTTGAAGACACCGTGGAGGGTCAAGGAGTATCTGAAGATAAGCAATCAGCTTTCTGTCCTTTCACTGTCGGTGTAAAAAGCACATATTGATCAAAGAACGAGACTTAAGTTGAATTTGAAAGGAAGAAGAAAAGCTAAGACAATTCGAAAGCATAATGCAAGATATCAAATTCCCGAAAATTTAGAAACAAAAACCTTGTACAATTATATAACATGACATCTGTCATGTTATATAAACTATCAGTTTCAGAAGATTACGTGACGAAATTGAATTAGCCAATCTTGAAGCTTGCTCTTCACACGTCGACATTAGTATTTCACAATCTCCGTCTTAACGTGCATTTTTACTTGTTGAAAAGCGGATGAAACACTGCCATCGTTGCCGAATCTTTGAAAATATTTAAGGTATGTGCGAGTTTGTGAAAGGATCTTGATAAGTAAATCAAACTATATCAAAATTCGAAATTGTAATAGACACCAGGACGAACATCGAACAGCGCTTAAAGTGTCGAATTGACCCTGACTTGTAAGTAGCAGCGGAGCCGGGTGCGAGATTCTTGCGTATCCACGTTGGGCATTTTTTAATCCGATAGGCGGAAAGTTATTATTTCTACTTCTGATTCATTTGTGGGACGTCAGTCTGACTATTTTCCTTGCATGTCATATAATTTGGTGAACGTAACGCTTCAATTGAGCGCACGCTTTGGTGTGACTTACTGGGAATGTGGCAAACGATTATTGTGTAGCTCTCGACTTGTCACGCAACATTAAGTCTCCTTTGCAACCATTTTTTTTTCGAAGGGGGGGGGGGTTGGGATGGGCTAATTTTGTTTTATTAACTGAGTTGATAACGTAAATCGGCCACCGTAAAGGTTTGTAAAGCTGTTTTAAAACTCTTTACGGTGGCTAGTTTACGTTATGAACTCAGTTAATAAAGGTAAATTACCCTGTTGGCTGTTATACTCTCCCGCCGACGCAGCACCATCGTTTCCTTGGAAACTTATCCCTTTGTTTTCATTTTTTTTCTTGGCCTCCTGACGCAAGGCCATATCTTCAAGAGAAAGCATGTTTTGTTCATGATAAGGTGTAACACCGTAAAAAATTGGATGAACTTTTTAATTACAATTTAGTTCTTAGATTATCTTTATTGCTTACAGAATTAAGTACCGATGTGTCAAGAATTTCACTGCGGCTGTTGTTCGGATGATTTACCCGAAGACTCTTGCGGATGTGGCGAGTGTTACCATGGACGTCAAGACTTGGAAAATGTTTTTCCCTTCCTGAAAAATGGTGAGATTGCAGCGAAGTGTAATTTTGAGGCAAAGTGTTGTGGTAGTGAATGATATGAATCTATACCCGTCCGAAACTTACTGTAACGAAGAAAAGATGAGCAACCTATGTTTTGTTTCTACAACAGGAAAAATTGAAAGCTTTTGCGAGGATGGGATAGATTCGTATGGAGAAGAGGAGACGAGAGACCCGTGTGTGTCTGCTTGTTCCAAAAGCTGCTGCAATGATGAGAAGGATTCTTGCAATGAAGAAACTCTGTGTAGTCCTTGTCCTTCTGCTTCAGCCAAACAGCCAAGCGATGAAGCAGCCGAATGTTTCCAAAGTAAGTGTTGCTCGACTACTGTCAACGATGTAAGAATAGGTGAACCTGTCAAAGGCAGCTGCTCGTCTCAGGAGAATTCACGACAAGAGAAAGAAGACACTTGTTGTGAAAAAGCGTCTGAGCAACCGGCACAAGCTACTGCTATGCCAGACTCATCACCATGTCGAGGTTGTTGCTCTGAGAGGGAAATCCCAGGGAGTAAGTCAACTGAGTCCGGTGGGCCTTCGGGAAGAACCAGCGCTGATTGTTGCAATAGAACTGTGGCAGACGACTGGAGTGATTCTTGTCAAACGAATTGCAGCCACACGGATAAAGACAGTGGTAGACCGTCCAGTTCAGCGGATGCAATCTCCGTGTCAACTTGCTGCGAAAGTGGTAGCCCTCGTCGGTCTTCATGTGGTCAGTTGACATGTCAGACACGCAGTCCACAATTAACTGTCACGTGTTCTCCGCCTGAAGACAATTGCTGTGAGAGTCAAGCTTGTAGTGGTTCCACGCGAAAACCACGTGGGGACAATCGCTACCAAAAATCCCAGCTTAAATTGTCTGTCGAGGGACTTTGCGATCGATCACTATCTGGCAGTAGAATCTCAGTGACAAACCGCAATGGTTTCTATCCTCTCACCCCTCCCACGTCACCCGGTATTCAGGAAAGCGACCACAGCTCAAAGAAGAAACCCGTGATACGCGAAAGTACCACTAAGCTGCGAGTGCAAAACATTTGCTGTGCGATGGAAAGCACACTCGTTCAAGAATCCTTAGAACCATTGGAAGGAGTGAAATCAATCGCAGTCAATGTGATCGGGAGAGTCGTGTACGTCCGTCACGACCCAGAAGTGACGTCAGCTACCGAGCTTGTTGACACACTCAACCGAAACCATCTGGGCGCGAGCGTCATGGAGACTGGGTCCCAGGAACACGATGATAGTAAAAGTCTCCCGCCGTCCTTATCGACTTTTCTGATTTATCTTTTGCTCCAAACCATTCTCCTGATGACAGGTGTTGTAGCGTTCTTCTGTGATGCGTCCTGGTACAGATGGCCGGCCATTGCGGAAATCGTGTTCGGTATATTTCCAGTCCTCCAGAAAACGTATGTTTCTCTTAAAACCTGTAGCGTCGACATCAATATTCTGATACTCATTGCCATAGCGGGAACGCTTAGCATTGAGGAGTGGTTGGACGGCGCTGCTGTAGTTTACGTATTCTCCTTCGCCGAAGCCTTGCAAGAGTTTTGTATGTTTAAAGTCCATCGGACAATCTCTGGGCTCATGCTAAAAGCGCCGCGGGTGGCAATACTAGCGAACACTGGCGAATGTGTATTGGTGGAATCAGTTGCTATTGGAACCACTATCGCCATTAGGCCAGGAGAGTTTATTCCTTTGGATGGTGAAGTCATAAAAGGACGAGCTGCTGTGGACGAAAGTACGGTTTCTGGTGAATCTGTGCCCGTTGAAAAAACTGTGGGATCTAAAGTATTTAGCGGAACGATTAATCAAAATGGCTACTTGGAAGTGAATACCACATCAGACTCGACATCTTCCACAGTTTCTAAAGTTGCACAACTAGTTCAGGAAGCCCAAACTGGTTCAGGAAGGATCGAAGTCGCCATAAATCGGTTTGCCAAGTATTACACTCCAACTGTGGTCGTTGTTGCAGCTCTGGTATTTGTTATTCCAGCCATTCTTGGTGCTGCAGGCGTGGGAACCTACTCACAGGAGCTAAAGATGTGGGGAGAACGAGCCCTTGTCCTTCTGGTCATAGCGTGCCCCTGCGCCCTCGTTATGTCCACCCCTATTGCTATGGTCTGTGGTATCACTGCAGCGGCGCGTAAAGGAGCACTGATCAAAGGTGGAGTTCACCTCGAGACCCTCGCTCAGTTGCAGGTCCTTGCGTTTGATAAAACTGGAACATTGACAGAAGGAAAGTTTCAAGTTGTTGACATAGAATGCGTTTTTGGAGTGAAAGAACGATCAGCTTTACGCCTAGCAGCTGCGCTTGAGAGCAAGTCCAGCCACCCTCTTGCGGCTGCCATAGTAAGCGAATTTAGTGGTTGTGTTTCGGAAATGCGCAAGTCACAATCCTCCAGCCTTCCGGAAGTAAAATGCTTTAAACTTCACGAAGGACAAGGTATTTCTGGTGTTGTCGGAGGTCATCATGTGCAGATCGGTAATTACGAATTCCTAAAGCGTGTTGGCAACAAAGCGCTGAATAAGTGTATGGAAGAGAAGTATATCACTTGGTGTAACGAGAGTAAAACTGTGGTCTTCATGGCTGTGGATGGTAAACTGGCCATGATGATCGCTCTTGCTGACACTATTAGATCAGAAAGTCGTGGCGCGTTGGACTGGTTACGAAAAACTCGTGTCCAGACTGCCATGATCACTGGTGATAACTCTCGTACAGCCATGGCCGTGAAGAGTAACTTAAGCTTGGACGAGTGCATCGCCGACATGAAACCTCAGGACAAACTGTCGTGGATCGAGGAGAGACAAGGTGGAATGCAAATCGTGGAATGCGAGGTGCTTGGCGACGATCAACAGACTAGGAGGTGTATGTTACCGTACGCTTGTTGCTGTTCCCGTCACCGATACAATGCTGTAAAATCACGTGGCAGCGACAAAATCATTGTGGGTATGGTCGGCGATGGCGTTAACGATGGCCCAGCCCTTGCCGCAGCGAATATTGGTATCGCAATGGGCGCTGGGGGAACGGCCTTAGCAGTGGAGGCGGCAGATGTGGCACTGATGAGCAACAACTTGACGAAAATACCGGAACTGGTACAACTCGGCCGTTTCTGCCGTCGTGTCGTAGCAGAAAACATCTCGTTCTCCGTCATTTTGAAGCTGGCCATCGTGATTGCGGCCCTGTTAGGGAAAGCTGCGTTGTGGATGGCTGTTCTGGCAGATGTACTCGGTTTGCTATTCGTTGTAATAAATGGTTTGAGACCCCTATGGTGGAATGTCGCTTGGAAAAATGATGTTAAAAGTGAAATAGCAATTTCTGTTCACTCTCGGCCATCTTACTTTTACGAGTCGTATGTATAGGCGAGGACGTTCAAGGAGCAAATGTGATGTTTGTCTCTGCCATTTATCATCCCAGTGGAAGAGGTGGTAATTTTTTTTTAAGTACTCTGAACAGAACGGATTTCAATTGATTGCAGAGGACAGATTACAGGATCAATACCTGTAATTGATACAGACTGAATTTTTCAAATTAAGATATCGATGATTATATGTACAAGTTTGTACCGTCGTATGTGATGTATGAATTTCATAATTGATTGATGATTAGGGATTTAGTTATTGAAAATTACTTCCTGACCTAAAAAAAAACCACGAAAACAAAAACAAAAACAAACACGTCAGCTATTTTTGAATGTTGTGAATTATTGAATAAGAGTCCTAATTGACTTCACTGGTGTTATAATGATCTCATGGGCTTTTAAACGCTTAATAATTTCGGGGGGAAAAAAACTTAAAAAAAGAAGATTATTCAAATGTTGCAGCTAGTAGATTTCAAAACTTTAAAATGTTGTGTCTACCAAAGACAATCATAAATTCGGTGGTTCGTACTGTCTCAAGGCAGTTTCTCAATTTGTTGTTATTTAATCCTTGATTGATCGATACTACAGTATAACCCCGCTAACTCAAACTCGCAAGGGGAACAAAACATGGTTCGAGTTAGCGAGTGTTCGAATTAGTTGATAGTAAATGACCAAAGGAATGGGTCAAAAGAAATCAGATCTTGTACGAGTCACTGGTGGGGTTTGAATTCCCCGAGTTTGAGTAAGCGGAGTTTTACTGCATCATGCATTTTATACGTTTCTTCGAAAATGGTGCGGAAGAAATGCCTCAATTCTGCTCAATAAGTTATGTTTAAGCCTTTCACTTTACTTACGTTGAGGATTGCCATAACAATACTAGAGCCTTCTAGAAAAAGTATGATTTTAGGTTTATAGGTCAATGACTGCTCACAATTTAGAGTTACGGGCGCATGAATCATAGATCAAATTTTATGTTCCTGTTTTTACTAAAATTGAAAGGGTGTAAAGTTGATTGTGGATAATACGCCGATCAATTCGAAGCAACATTCCTCCCGGGCAACCCATAGGCATTTGCCCGTCTTCCAAGCCCGGGGGGGGGGGGGGGGGGTGGAGAATTTAAACCGGAAGTGTCTAGTCTTTCCAGTAGAATGCAAGCGTTATATCATGAGATATGGAGATGTTAAGGAAAGTAGTTCAATTTACCGAGTGAATGACTCAGATGGAAATGTCTACAAGGTCTAGGTTTTCTTTTATCTGCATTTTACCCAAAAATTGGGTGGGGCATTTGAACACAATTTTTGCTCGGGGGTGGGGGGCGGAGGAAATTTGAACAAAAAAGTCATCAAAAGTTCAAAGCCCGAGATTTGCGCAGGGGGGGATGTTGAAGCTTCGAATTGATCTACGCGTAAGCTTGACCTGTTTTGGTGATTCGTACGTATAGTTTAAATCATTTGTGGCACATTAACATCTGATAAATTGAACAAACAATAAACACTATGGGTTATTTACGTTTATGTCCGAAACGCTCAATGTCTGTTCAGTTTAAACCTTTGATACAATAAAACCCATGAATCAAGTACACAAATTAATCCCCAAATTCTTCTTGTCAGCACCGTAGGAAATGTCTAGAGAACAGTATGGAGAATATAAATGCTGATGTTAGGGTCCAAGGGATGTAGAGACGTCACTCGGTTCGAGTAAGATACAATATAACCATATAGGGGTTGTATTGATTCTACGAGTGTTTTAGTTCATGGTAAAAAAAAACTCGCGTTCATATGATTATAAAGGATATTTCCACCAGGTGAGTGGGGCAGCAACGGAGAATGGGGGTCAAACGCGTATACTTTGATAAACCACTTTTGGAAAAAATCATGTACCTTATATGGAAAAAGGATCCCTTTTATATGCCGACAACCTCGCGCCGGCCATCTCTCAAGGACAAGCAGAGACGAATGAACTGTTTTACTAAAAAACTAAGAAACACTCACCTACCTTTGCTGCGAATAACCCTTAAATCATTTTTAGACCTCATGTCGATAGCAGCTTTCTTTTACTTTTTCACTGACCCACCTTGGGAGATCCCAATATTTCATAAACCAAGTGTGTAAAACGCACGTCCATCTCGGGCAGATCATCCGCGTCTAACCATGTGTGGGGAGAGGTTTCCTGATAGGAACAAGGGATATAATAAGACAGGCTATTTGAGTTCAATCGGATACAGTCATAAAAAACGAAGGACAAATGTTTGTAACTCGATTTCCGACTTTATCTTGGCTCCAGTATTCGATGCTCTTGAGAAGGAACTTCCTTTCGGCTTTCCCGACCGCGTCCTGAGGAACCGTGCCCCGAGGAACCGCGCCCTGAGGAACAGTGGACCGGAGTGAAATGCTCGATCCAACAAGGCGATACGACATGCTTACACATCCTCAGGCGATCTTAATCGGAGACATACACCCTGACTGGCAAAGAAGACTGTTTTGCGGCGTAGTTAACATCGGCGAGACCATGAGAAAGGTGCACGTGCGAATTGATGTACACTTAAACACATCATGACTCTGAACCTGTCCCCCTAAATTCGGGAGAATCCTTCGCATTCTTTCAGCTGGCGCATATTCTGCTTGGCCGAAAAAACCTAATCAACGTGTAGCCGTTCCAAACCCCCCCTCCATTTCACCATGGGGGGGGGGAGGGTACAGCTATACGTAGGCTACCAAAATCCTTTTGATCAATGCAGAATCCTTGAAAGCCTAATGATCCAAAATTTTAGGCCTAATTTGAATAGACAAATTAACTCCTACGTTTCGAAACTCTTTCCATCTGGAATTATACCTAAGGATATGAAATATGCAGTTTAGCGGAAGGAGTTTATTTACCCTGATGATGACCTAGTGTCGAAAACGTTCGGTTTTTAATTTTTAATATGTTTTGCCTTGTAAATAGCTCATTTTTAAAAATAGAAAAATGGAAATAGAACAGATCAGGACCCAGAAATTTAAAATTTTACCTTCTTTTTGGAGTAGCGGTCATGCTGAAAATATTCCTCGTTTTGAAAATAGGGTAATTTGAGACAAGAATTGCAGTCTTTGTTACCATTTGCACCAACTCTGATCTTTTTCTGGATAGATATTAAGATCAAGATATGAAATGATCCAATATAGGGGCAGTTATTCAAATTGAAAGCTAACGCATAATAGTCGATATATAACTCCAAGAAAGAAAGTCATCCTCTTCAGTCAATTGAAAAACGCTATTTTAGAAAGAGGGCTGGGGCAAAGACTGCAAGGTGGTGTAACGCGCGCGAAGATAAGAATAGGGATAACTAGGTATGAATTACGTCCAATCAAAAGGACGAAAAAACAGCTGTTTGTTTGTACTGGCGTTCGTAAGTTTTATTTTTAAAACAAATTGTGTCAAAACATGCAATACTCGTGGAATAACATTAAAAAGACTTGAGAAAGCGTAATATTTGTAAATGTCATGATTCTCTGACAATGCATTTGAAAGCGGGGCTTGCTTGTACAGATAGCTTCAGTTTTAGCAGAATTTATTGCAAGTGTCAGTTAACACTGAATTAAATCCAGAGGTGGTTACTTTCCATCTATTGCTAGATAATACTCTCGGCTCTGCGAAGCACTAATTTTCCCGTCAGATATACTTTGTCGGATTTTGTAGCATACCATAGTAAAATCGCGCATCGTTTTGCGTGCATCTAAAAGTTGATGGTTTGAATTGGGAATAAATTTTTTTTCTCTGATTTGTTTAACATATTCCTTTGAATATTTAAGGGTGTGCGTAATACATTTTTTTAAAAGCACACGGCTTTAGCGTGTTATGAGTGGGAGGATGCAAAGTTGTGTGTGGCGTCACAGTAAGGGGCATGTGTTTTTCTTTAATTACCAAAAATATTACAAACGAACGCAAACTTTTCCATTGAATCTAATGGAACACAAATGGCAAAATAGTTCAATTCGTAAATATGAAGGCCAATCAGGAACGTGTTTTTACAAATCACCTACTGAAGAAGCTTGCAAATTCAATTCAATTTTATATTCTCGTGGTGCATTGTTTTCAAATTCCATACTTTCATCAGAAGCCTCTTGTCGGGAAGACATAACGCACAATACTAGACACGACATTTTCCACATCACAAAGTTACTTATTAGGAGAAGATACCGAAGGGAGACCTCCTTGTGGTCATAAAATATAGCTAAATTTTCTGAGCCGTGGAAAGGAATCTTCTCTGCCTAAAAATAGCAATTTACGTTTCGAAGATATCATTCTATTGTTTCGTAACTTTTGCCAGCTCAATGCTTGTTGATGTCACTGAAACTCCTAGATTTTGTATGTCCCGTGACCATCGCTCGTCAATTAAAGGATAGTTCCTGAACATTTTCCAAGAGAAAAAAAATCTGGAGTTAGTTGATATTTCAGAGCTTTAGAGCTATGAAATAAAACCGGAAAGCCTCAAAAGTTGTCGATGTTTATTCCTGATTAAGAAATAACAAGAGAACATATTCTCTTGAAAATAACTTTTGATAAAATCTATATTTTTAAACTGCACTTAAACTATACTACGCGAGGGAATCAACTCAATTTTCCAAGAAAAAATTAAAAACTTTTAATGAAATAAGTAAACAGCTCAGAATTTCGCAACTAAAAATTTTTATCTAAAAAACACAGAAACTTTTATAGTGACAATAAAATAGACACCTTTATGTCGCAAATGTCGAAGTTTTGTCCAATATCTGGTGTCAATAGAATAGTCAGGAAAGTGGTTAATACTGTTCTGCATCAAAAATTTAATTCCAAGTAATGTCACCGCGCCAGGAAATCAGCTGCCATTTCAAATTGATTTTTCAAGATTTCAGTCGAATATTTTTTCAGCTTAGTCTTGCAGGAGTTCCGTTTTTTGTGATGAAAATTAATTTTAGGTTTAAACGGTAACATTCCTAATACATATAATATAGTTTGGATTCAGGGGTTTGATTCAAACTTATTCGTATTTTACCAGACTACAAGATTTCGCAGTTAGCACCGCCGTGATCCAGTCGTTTCTCTCGTCTTCAGAATTACAACTCACAACGTACGATTCTTTGTTGTTCGCTCGGAGGCGAAGACCAAATTTCTTCCGTCGAAACCCGAAGTCCTCTGCCATGAGAGAGACGATGTCTAGTATACGAATGATTTTCGCCGAAACAGACTCTTCGTTTTTCTCTTTCAACAAATACAGTTTGTCTTCGGACAAGATGAAATATCTCCTCTTCCAACGGCGTTTTAGCGGCATTGACTTGCTCTGTTTCCAAAGGTAGCCTTCTTTGATGGACTGGTCCTCACTGCTGGTGAATTTTTCGCAGTTTTCCGGCCGACGAATTCGGCTACCAGAAAATGGCACAACACGAAAACGTAACTTTCTGAACAGCCTTGTGAACCCCATTTGAGAGATCGAATGTTTCGCTAGCAGCTGATGATCTAAACAATTAATTCCTTGGGAAAACCCCCCTTTTGAAAGAAAATCCTCCTTCTTCTTTAGTTTCAACTACTGCATTTTCTGCCTGGTTGAACTGAATTTGGAAGACCTCACTCAGTCTACGTCAGCGAATGGATGGCCCCCGAAGTTCTGGACGAAAGATTTGTTGTTTCTTAGGGATTACTTGTTCATTCTAAGCCTTGCGAAATGCATATGTGGCTTGAGTCTCACAGCCTTAATATTTTATGTCCAAAACCACCCACGCGTCAAACAGCAATTAAAATTGGCAAGCCAGTTTATCAGGGTTCGCTTTGATCTCTGGGTATCTGGCGTACGCGCACACCTGTAAACTTTTCAAAAAGAGATTGCGAAATCGCGCAAAACACTCAAAATAACCCTATGCAATAAAGAGAGAAGAATATCAAATAAGTATCGAATACGAGCGTGCTCATTACTCAGTTGAAGTCAGTTCGTGTTGTCAGGGAAATTGTTTCTCTATGAAACAAATAGGATCGGCTGTTAGATTCAGCCTAATGACGTCAGTTGCCCTTTCGTAAATAAGATTTGCAATTTTGCTCACAGAAAGGTATGAGGTAAAACTTATTAAAAAATAAGATTCTCTGTGTTTCTACGCTTTCAAATTTAGATTTTCCGTTGGGAAAGTTTATTTCAATGTATTGAATCGAGGACAGTTGGTTCCAGGTAGAGAACAATGATTATTTTCAAGGAAATTGTTTGAAAACGATTTTATCCTAATTTATGCAATATTCGGAAGAAAAATTTTAAAATGTATTTATCTTAAGGAAAAACAAACTAGAATTAATGGAATAACCAGCTGAGGATTTTTATTCATTCTTCCTAAGTTCTTTACAGGAACAAATCTAATGTTAAAAACATTTTAAGTGCTCAAATACATTATAATTATGAAAAGTCTGGATTGCTTGAAGTCTTTTGGTTTCAATAATGGTGTTAAAATTGCTCAAATCGATGTTGCGATTCTACAAAGAGGACTGTCATTAACAGAAGTAGTGTTTTGAAATAGGATTCTGTTTAACACGTGGATATTTTTTCTTCATCATTGTCGAGCTGGAAATCAAACCGAACATTTTGTGTAACCTCAATCCTTAAGAAAATCGCCTTCAAACTTGAGAGAACACTGAACACTGCGGAAACCGCAATTTGGAGTAATTTGCGTCAATGTCTTTGGCGAATCCTTCCTTTTTCGATTACCTTTCTCAACTCTGCAATACCGCCCTCTCCTCCCCTCTCCTCCCCTCCCCTCACCCCACGCATTCTATTTGTTCCCTTATGATAAATATAAGAAGACTAATAAATCTAGTGTGTGATTTTCAAAACAATTTTAAGATGAATGTTAAAAGGTGATCCGGAAAAGCATTAGTTTGGCTTTCCTACGCTTTGTGATTGGTTCAGAAAACTCGCGCCACCATAATCCTCTGGACCAATCGCATGCAAAACTGAAACTAGTTGTACGATTTGGCCACTCACATTTTCGAATGTTGCGGGCAGTTTGCTAAATTTTACTCTGAGTTCTGATTCGCTCCACGTAGGATTTTATCTATGTTGTAGTTCAGAAATGTGATCTTTTCGATTTGGATTTACGCCTCGCAGTCGAAATACGCCCTTGCTTAAAAAACAAAAATTTACCTCACACGAGTGATTTTACTTTTCATATTTCTCGCACGTGAAAAACGAGAGAGGCTGGTTCGAGAGTCAGTAACAGCGCTAATAATGTAAATGAAAAAATTGCATGCGTCTGATTGGCTAAAAACGAGTGAAATCTCATGTAACACGAGTGCAACGTTGTAACACGAGTACAAATTACAAATAGCGAGTAGGCTGCTAAAATTTACGTCTCTCTTGAATCTCTGTGATGTTTTTTTATTAACGTTACAACATGTTTTGTGGTGCAATTTGGTGAAATAAGCACTTGTAAATTTTTCAAAGACTACAAATTGCACTTGCCCTACGGGCTCGTGCAATTTTGTTGTCTTTGAAAAATTTGCACTCGAAGTCATGTTATTAAGTATACTTACCTACCAATAAAAACACAAACAATGATTTTAACTTAAAAGATGAGCATGTCTGGCTTTAAAATTTAGGATTTACGACAGAATTCAGTCTAGAGACAGACCAGCATAACCATCAGTTCCGCCCGAGACAGGATCACAGAGGACTGGTTAACATGATTAATAATTTTCTAAAAGCGTTTAAAAAACAATATCACTGATGCTTTTCATTTTTTTTTTTTTATTTTCATGCTTTTTCTCAACATGAAAGCTCTTGCTCCGTGAAAGTGTAACTTAGTGAAAAAAGGATAAAAAATGAGATAATTTGAGGATAAAAACAAAACAAAACAAAGCCAAACATCCTTCACACCACCACCCACGCGTTTATCAACACTTACATTTCCAGACCGTCAATTATCCGCTTATCTGAATTCATTAACTTGACATTTTCAAGTCCTCGGACAATATACTTTTTGTGCGGGGAAAGGGTGGGGGAGTCTTTTCTCCACGAAGATAATTTTCAAATTTTTGTCGCAACTTTCGAGAAGGAGAGGTCTGTTTGCTTGACAGACAAAAATTCGATTATTTCGCATGATCGACAGAAAGAAAACCAAAAGGAAATTAAAAAATAGGTTACTTCCGCGTTCAGCAGGCGTCTTCTCCGTTCTTTTCCGGCCTCTTGTTTCACACGCGTGTGAAGAACGGGGAAAAATTGAAAAAAATTTTGTCAAAGATCCACCGAACTTCGCTTCTAATTCTCATGAATCGTGACCTGGTTTGTCTTCGTGAAGTGTGATTCGGCAACAATGGACGCGAACCATGAATATCTTACGGATGGCCTTTGAAAAGAGGACGTCCTTAGTGGAATGCGTGACTGATGTATGAACGTGACTCAGATTACTACATCAGTAGCTTACCGTGATGAGACAGAAAGAGGTGTGTAAAGTCGGTGAAGAAAACAAACAGAGCTTCACATTGGAAGTAATTCAGCAAGAATCGATCCTTCAAACGAGTCTTTTTTCCCCCACCAATATCTAATTTGTTTTTCTCGAGATGGCGTAAGATATTTTGTGAAACGCGATCTTGACACCTCCCTACCCCCCTGGGCCCCTCCCTCCATCCTCTGTGAAACAAAAACCGTAAAAGGCATCAACTGAGGCTACTTCCGTGTGAACTATGACCGCTTTTCATTTGAGGGAGCGCTGCGAATGTTTTTTGTCCACCTGCCACTTGTACCCTATTTCACGTGCTTGTTACGTGCTACCTCATGTTTACTTGTTCGCCTTGCATGTGATCATGTACACCTCCAGCATGTCTGTTCAGCCTGACCCCACGAGCGACCCCTAGAGCGTATAATCAAAAATAAACATGATCACAGGACGAAAGTCCACAATTTAAAATAACAGATGGTTTTCATCAAAAACTCGAATCTTTAGTCACGGTTATCTTACACTAAAATGTGAAACCCCGAAAAAATTTTACTTGTTGGCGTAAACGAATTTTTTTTACGTATTATGATAATTCTGTTTCATACATGTTTTTATTTCAAGTTTTATTTTTTCCACTTAGCCGGTGACTTGAAAAATTATTACACCCCTATAAATTAAGATATTTGACTTTACTTCGGTGTTTTTTGTTCACGCCACGCGGACCTCATGGAACTCAACTTTGCCAATTAGACATAGAATGAATCATCCCAAACTACGGAAATCTGTGAATCAATTTTCTCTTCGCCCCCAAAGGCTTTATTATTTTCGGCCATTGTTGTTATCAATTTAGGTTATTTCCATTCAAAATATTCAAAATAGATTTACAATACAATTTTGTGGACATCAAAACTTTGTTGTAATCGTCTGGGATAGAGTATGCGCAGTGGAAAACCCCGGATGTTCTCGTGATATTTTCCATCAAACCAACTGAGAGGTGCACTGACAACGTTTGTGTCTGCTTGTCTTGTCTGAGTTTCCCTCGCTTTCTGCAGACGCCTCCACCTTTGTGTAGTGCTATGGGGACATCATCTGTGTTTGGTTATCTCGCTTGTGAAGAGTTTCGGGACTAAAAACTAGTGTTCATCGTTTAAACTGGCGGCCATTCGGAAAAATGTCGGTAGGAGAAGGAAGAAACGTTGGTAGTAGCGACAGGATCGGTGAGTAAGCACGCGCTACGATGGCACTTTTGGGCGACAAATAGCCTCTTAGAGTAGGTTACGTGCGCTGAGAAAGGTTTTCCTATTTGTTTTTCCGGCGTCATTTCTTCAGGGGTAGCATTATTCTCGCTTTTAGCTCTTTATCGTGGAGATATGCAGTGGTGTCTCGATTGTTTTTCTTCTTACTGGTTATTTAGGAAATTTGTAGAATTCTTCGACGGTCAGAAATCGTATGCAAGTCACGTAGTTGGCTGCATGTCTTCTTCTTGTTGTTATTTTCATTTTTTCACGGATGGGCTACATTTCCAAGATTAAGAAGGAGGAGTAGAATTGTAATTCATTGCCGCTTAGTAGCTGGGAAAGTCATTTTGGCGAGATCGTCTTGCAGTTTATTTTTTTCAGTTTAAAGTGTTAAATCAGACACGTTTTCAAAATACAAGTCATGTAATTTCAGATCGCGATGTATCATGAATTGACACGTCTGTTAAAACATGTTTCTTGCTGTTTTTAAAATAAGACACGAGGTCTAGTTAAACGCAATTCGATTTGGTACATTGTGCCATTCTTTATCCTGTCCGCAATTTTGTCTTTTATATTGATACTGTAACGTATCAAAGGTCGACTTTTGGCATTCTTTTGTGGTTGAATGACCGATTTATCAAGGACGATCGATCACTTACAACGAAAATCGGACCATAAACCTTATTCGAGTATGAAAGGATCTAATCTTTCATTTGCTTGAATAGTTTTGTCAGCTATGTAGACAGGTTTTTCCGCAAAGTCTTATTTTGAAAGCTGATAATTTTACTTTGTTACATTGCTGTCAGGAATATTTGCTCATTTCCAAGAACCACAACGAGGTAATTTTTCAATTAATACTGAAAAAGATTAAAAAAGTACAATACCATACATGAATTCACACTTTTCAGGCACACAATAATCATGATTTCTATAAATTCAAAAGATTTATATAACCCCTTATTCTCTGTGTTATTTTCTTGACTTTTAACTAAGTGCTGCCAAAGAACTCATGAGGAAGTGTTGTGTTGGTACCCTTGAGCACAATTGTTGATTATTTGAAATTGAGTGGGAGGGGTTTTAGCATTATTGATAGAATCAATTTAAAAATAAACATAAACTATAAATTTTTAAAACATTCTCATAAGATGAAAACTTTTTACTCCATTGAAGAATATAGGAGTTTGCTTATTTATATCATCTTAATTTTTCGATATTACCTCCAATGTGAAATTTCACGATCTCAATGTCTCGTGTTATTCTTGCCAAAAATAATTGACAATTTGTTGAAAATTTTTGTGATAAAGAATTTCCCAGAAATTGTTTTCTACGTATTAAAATAAAAAACAAACAAAATGAAAGAGTTGTATACAAGATTATATGTCTACAAGAATCTACTTTATGTTTCAACACTCACAGATGAATGCCAAGGTCAAGGAAATTGGTTTCAGCTCTGAGCTAGTTGATAAATTAGAGTAAAATACAAGAAGCCCTTATGTAGAGTAGATAATACTTTCTGTTGTTGTTGCATGATCTTAGCCTAAATCAGTTCAATTGTGCGTATTATTAGATGCATAACTTAGCAATGAATACACCCCCTGGTGTACCCCAGAGGGAGAAACTGTAATCAAATTATAAAATCTAGCCAGTAACTTATTTCATACAACCTATTTTTTACATATATGTATGTGTAATTTTTTAAAGTACTTAAGGATGAGATAGTACCAAATTTTCATTAAAAAAAATGATCTCTGAAAACTAGTTTTTATAGTTAGGGACAAGTTGATGATCTGTGGATTTAATGTCACAATCTTGAATGGAAAGGAAGTTTTGTTGTGGACTTACACTGCATTCAAGAGGTAGAAAGCACTCTGGCCATGAGCAACTAATAGGCTGTCTTGTAATGTAGAAGAAAGCTAGTATAATTACCTTATCTATCAACAGATTTCTTAACATGTGTAATTAAAGCAAGAGAATTACTGAAATAACTTCTTCTCTTGTGGGAGGGAAATAAACCCCACTAATTTGACCCTAGGTAAACCATAGATATTTATTTGTAGCTTAAACAAACAGGAAGAAGTTAGCTAGAAATACCAAGTATTTATTTTGACCATGACATCATTGTCAGTGTGACCAAAGAGAGAAACTATTGTGCAAGATTGATGTGCGTGCACTTCAACAATGAAGTTAATAGGCTTATATTTGCTCAATAGCTTCTTTTTGTGGTTAAGATGGGATTGGGGTCATAATGATGTGACAACCTAATTTGTTTTGACAATTTTTACTAGCTTAATAATAGGATAGTCAGATTAAGAAAGTAAATGAAAGAGACAATGATTGGGCATTCAGTTAATTTCAATACGAAAAAATTGGATTGGAATTATACAGGTGGTTATATTACAAGCGCAGTTGCAGCTTACACAGCTCTTCTTCATTCTTTTTTCTCTCCCTCTTTACTCTCAAGATCTATTATTTCTCACTTGCAGATGTGATAAATTTCTATATAAATCAGTTAATAGAAGTGGGTATTACATGTGTATATCAAGTTTCCTCCCTGCCACTGATAAGTTTGAATTTTCCCATCAACTGTTTGCTAAAGGCTATCCCTATTATTATGTGGAGAAAGTTTATCTTAATTATTTCAAAGAGTTAAAGGGTTAAGCAAATCAGCAGGTGGAGAATTATTGTCAATAGAAGGAACCTACTGATGTTGTCCTTTCTGTTCAAACCTGTAGGTTCAAGTCCTCATGCAACTGGATTGCCATCACCAACAGAACCAAAGATGTTTCCTCGTGCCATTCTTTTGGCACCAAATGGACAGCAACTTTTTGTTCCACAGCCTTTGGTTCAAGGAGACAGAGGCATGGTGTCTATTGCATCACCATACCTCACCCAAGCTAGCATTTTTTATGCTCCTCATTTCTTTTCACCTCATCAATTGGCAGCTATGCAGCACACCACACCACAACAATTTCCCCAAGTCCCCTCACTGATACAATTGCCTGGAAACTCACCTGTACCTCATACCACAACCACTGTTCAAAATGGATTTTCAGAGTCTTCTGTTTCACCCTCTAAAGGTAACAGAAAGGGGGAAGGTAACATTTCCCCTTGTGCACTCAAAGAGTCTGTCATAGTGACTAACTCATCAGCAAATATTAAGGACACAATTCCTGATTCAGTTCCTGTTACACCGTCATTACCAATACCATCACTTTCACCCTTGACACCGAGAACGCCATCATCTCCTGGGACCCCTCAGCAAACTGTTCCTTCACCAGTTGATGATGACATCTGTGTTATTTGCTCAGACAAGGCAACTGGTCATCATTATGGAGTTACTAGCTGTGAAGGTTGCAAAGGATTCTTTAAGAGAAGTGTTCAAAATAAGAAAGTCTACTCCTGCCGTAATTTGACTCAAGATTGTCCTGTAGATAAACGACACCGAAATCGCTGTCAGTTTTGTAGATTGCAGAAGTGTATCAAAGCTGGAATGTTGAAAGAAGGTTGGTGTCTCTTTCTTTGTATTTTTGTTATGTATATTTTAAGTGGACTTTACAAAAAATGGCAATTCTTCATTTCAATCTGACAGTTTATTTATTGCCATATTTTAGGTTGCTATCAACTTGATATTTTCTTTGTCTAGCTCTTTGCCTATCATCTGCCTATCTGTCCATCAGTCTTTTTTTTTGTCTTTTGTTCAATTGGGCACCAGCCGGATCTCGCTTTGTTTGACTGCTCATTATTATTTGTGACTGTGAAAGGCAAAAAGGACACTAACAGAAAACCGCATGGATAACAAACGGTCCTTGAAGTGTTCGAACGGGTGAATAAATTATTTGAACGGTTTGATTAGCCGTTTGAATGGTTTGCTTAGCCATTTGAACGGATGAGTAAAAATTTTGAACAGACAGGCAAGCCGTTCAAATGGATGAAAATATTATTAATCCGTACAATTGGTTGTACGATTGGTTTATCAATCGTGCAGATAAATTGCTTAAATGGCGTTCAAACGCATGGCTTGATCATGGAACAGGCAAGGTTGCTGTGTTTTGTTTTCATTTGATGTGACGTTGTTGTCAATTTCATTCTTATGATCAAAAATTGAGACTATTCCAATTTCTCATCGAAATAACATTTTTAGTTATTGTCTGAAACTACTGAATATCCCATGAAAGGTGTTTGTCATCGTAGTTTAAAATGACAGCTGAGTTAATTGTTTGTCTCACGATTTAGTTACATGGATGTGGATCATAATGTTTCGACTGCTACACTGAATAACTGTAGAGAAACGACGAGTGCAATTTTCTCTTTTTGAACGGATGAACAGAACGGGCGCCAATCCATTCAAATGGATGCCACAGTTCTCCAAACGGACACTTCTAGTTGGCAGACGGATGGAAAACCGTTCAAACGGATACTGAAATCGTTCGAACGGATGCCGCAATACTTCAAATGGATGCTAATGTATTTCAAACGGATATGCAAACCGTTCAAACGGTTTGTCAAATGCTTTGAACTGATTTTTTTAGGCGTTCGAACAGATGACAAACAGATAACAAACAGATTTAGATATATGAAAATTCACATATTTGCACTGCGGTGGAAAGATGAAATTAGAAGATCCTCGCAGCTAAGAACACTACTGAAACTAGTAGTTGTAAGTAGGACCTGAAAAAAATTTCAGGCCCGTACGGGATTTGAACCCATGACCTCTGCGATACCGGTGCAGCGCTCTACCAATTGAGCTAACAAGCCAACTGGGAGCTGGTCAATGAATTGGGTACAAATAAACATCCGAGTGAATGAAGATTTAGATATATGAAATTTCACATATTTGCACTGCGGTGGAAAGATGAAATTAGAAGATCCTCGCAGCTAAGAACACTACTGAAACTAGTAGTTGTAAGTAGGACCTGAAAAAAATTTCAGGCCCGTACGGGATTTGAACCCATGACCTCTGCGATACTGGTGCAGCGCTCTACCAATTGAGCTAACAAGCCAACTGGGAGCTGGTCAATGAATTGGGTACAAATAAACATCCGAGTGAATGAAGATTTAGATATATGAAAATTCACATATTTGCACTGCGGTGGAAAGATGAAATTAGAAGATCCTCGCAGCTAAGAACACTACTGAAACTAGTAGTTGTAAGTAGGACCTGAAAAAAATTTCAGGCCCGTACGGGATTTGAACCCATGACCTCTGCGATACCGGTGCAGCGCTCTACCAATTGAGCTAACAAGCCAACTGGGAGCTGGTCAATGAATTGGGTACAAATAAAGATCCGAGTGAATGAAGATTTAGATATATGAAAATTCACATATTTGCACTGCGGTGGAAAGATGAAATTAGAAGATCCTCGCAGCTAAGAACACTACTGAAACTAGTAGTTGTAAGTAGGACCTAAAAAAAATTTCAGGCCCGTACGGGATTTGAACCCATGACCTCTGCGATACCGGTGCAGCGCTCTACCAATTGAGCTAACAAGCCAACTGGGAGCTGGTCAATGAATTGGGTACAAATAAACATCCGAGTGAATGAAGATTTAGATATATGAAAATTCACATATTTGCACTGCGGTGGAAAGATGAAATTAGAAGATCCTCGCAGCTAAGAACACTACTGAAACTAGTAGTTGTAAGTAGGACCTGAAAAAAATTTCAGGCCCGTACGGGATTTGAACCCATGACCTCTGCGATACCGGTACAGCGCTGCACTAAAATTTTTTTCAGGTCCTACTTACAACTACTAGTTTCAGTAGTGTTCTTAGCTGCGAGGATCTTCTAATTTCATCAGATAACAAACAGTTTTCCCGCTCAAACAGATAACCGTTAGTGTCCGTTTGGCCTTTCACTGTCACATTTGTCTAGGGTTCTGGTTAGAATTTTAATCACTCTGGTGTTCAACCTCTTTTGTTTATTTACATGTATTTGTCATTTGTCCATCGGTGTGCCTGACTTTCTCTTGCCTGCTTGCTACCTCAGTGTCCATTTGTCTGTTTGTCTGTGTGCCTATCTATCTGTGTCTGTCTGTCACCATCATTCTACCTTTTTGACCGTCTGTCTGTCTGTGTCTCCTTCTGTTCATCACTTCATCTCTCCAAACTGGTTGAGAAACATTTAAACCTTTATCTTTAAATGGTTTGCCTCTTATTCCATTTTACAGCTGTCCGGGAGGATCGCACACCAGGTGGTAAACACAAGAACTCATCTTTTTCTTCAAATTCACGCATCAAATCACAACCAGCTGCTAAACAAGCAAGAACAAGCTCAAGGAGCAGCTCATCTTCTGACCAAGTTGATGGAGCAGCATGTACAAAAATTCCATCCAGAACTTTTCCTCCTTTTATTAAAGAATTGTTGAGATATGAGCCTCCAGTTGATGTACAATCTTCAGAATGCCAGGGATGTCATATTGCAGATAATGGGCAGAGGACATTAGCACATGTCACACAACAAGCAGAGGAACAAATCAAAAGAAATTTGGAATGGTTTAAATGCTTGCCATTGCTTCGTGACATTAGTGAAAATGATAAACGGATTCTTTCAGGAAGTGCATGGATTGAACTTATGCTGATTAATTTGACAAAGCAGTCTTTACATTTAGATAATGGAGTGCTTCTTTGTCCTCGTCAGGTTTTGGACTTTACTACTGCAGAAGCAACAGGAATTGGTGACATCATGCACCGCGTAATGCAACTGACTGCAAAATTTAAAGAACTTAGTCTGGATGATGCAGAATTTGTTTGTATCAAAGTCATTATTCTACTAAACCCAGGTGAAGTACACATATGCAACATAATTCTCCCAGTTACATATGATACATGATATTACTGATGAGTCAGTTATTGTGGACCAGATACATTGCAAACAGTCCATAAACACACCTTTTAGAACTCCAAGTTTCTCACAAGCCTAGACCTAGACAGAATTTCTCCTTACAATATCAACCAGATAAGTGATGGGAATCAAGAAAAGTATCAATTTGAGGATAATTAGTGGATGTAGTACTAAATTCTCTGAACTAACATTATAAGAATTGTATGGTTGACGGTAAGGAGAATTACAAATTTGATCTGGGAGCTAAAGGGTTAAGCTTCCCCACTCCCCTTCATCAAAAACTCTAAAAACAAATATAGGGCTTGGGCATGGTAATGAAATAGAGGAATATGTTTTCTGTCTTTTCACAAGGGTGGGACTAAAAATAAGTTCTGTGGCCTGACTTCTGACAAGAGGGGAAAAAAATCTCTCTCTAGCTCTAACTTAGTTGTTTCAATGTCCTTCTAATGACTACACATTTAACAATGAAGAGAGGTAACATATCTAGAATTGTTATCAAGTTTCGTTGAATGTTGAGTTTGTTTCAGTCCAATTTTCCCATTACCAAGATCGATTAAGGGGGAAAGGCTGGTAAGTGTCAACAATTGTGACAAGAATTTAAGCTTCTTTGTTTAGAGTTGGCTCCTGACCAACCCTTAATATCATTAGAGAAAATGACACCCAGTGATGTAGCACCCTGTGAATTACACCTCATTAAATGTTGGATTGTACATTATACATTATAAAATGATTCAAATAGTACGCACGCTCTGATTGGCCATAAAACCATTTTACATGAGCATATGTAAACACAGTTTTCGTTCCTCTTTCATTAGTTATTTTATAAAAGAAATGTAAAATGGTTTCCGTGTTTACATAGCCTGATGTAAACACTTGGGAGGTTGGGAGAACACTCGATAAGCTGGAAACCACTCCACTTTGCATCGTGGTTTCCTACGCTTATCTCGTGTTCTCCCAACCTCCTGCGTGTTTACATCAGGCTATGTAAACACGGAAACCATTTTACTTTTCTTCATTATACAATGTCATTTTAATTATGTTCATTTTGATTTTGTCCATGCTCAGATGTGAAAGGTCTGCTGGATCAACAACTGGTTGAAAGACTGCAGGATAAAGTGCATGCATCATTGTTGGAGTACAACAACAACTTTCACCCTAATGAACCTAATCGATTTGGAAACATTCTTCTAAGATTACCTGAGCTGAGATCAATTGGCACCAAGAGCCTAGAACGCCTTTTCATGTTGAATCTTACTGGACAGATCAATGCAAGTGCTTCCTTAGTGGAACTCCTTCATTCATCAAAAAGATGATCTTTGAACTTGGGTGTCTCTTGTCTTGCTAGGCTATATTGATGCTGATGCGGCCTACATTTTGACCAGGAATTGTGGTTTAACTCTGGTTTGTCTGCCACATAATTACATGCAAACTGAATCTAGAAGCTAAAATATTAGTAATGCATCTTACCTCAAGGTCAACCCTGAAAAAACAGTTTCAGTCCATGAGTGGTGAAAACAGATCCTGATCCTTTTCTCTTTCTCTTTAAGGTTAATTGTGATGATGACTTTTCATACTCTTAAATGGAATTATTTTCTCTTTCCACCTTGTCACTCCCAGGAGTGATCAATTATAAATTTCTTTTTTAAAAATCAGATCTATTTCAAATGGAAATGTGATGGGAAGAAAGAAATGTTCCTCTTGGTAGATTTAGTTCAACTGAACTCCAATTACTCAGTGGTGAAACTGTAAGAAAGGTATGTCAGACAGGAAAGGGAATTGATATTGGGATCATAGGAGTGAGAAGTTAAGGTGAAAGTGGCTTTGCCAGAGGGATTGGGACTGCTTTTGGTCAATTCTATGTAGCTATGAGGGTAATTTAGTGTTATCAACTGAGTTGATAATGGAAAGTGGCCACTGTAAAGAGTTTCAAGGCTGACATTTCGAGCATCAGCCCTTCATCAGAGCTCAAAACGTCAACCTTTAAACTCTTTATGGTGGTCAATTTAAATTATCAACTCAGTTGACAACACTAAATTACCCTGTTATTCTCTCATAGTGAGTTTCTTTAGAAATTTGCTCCCTTCATTCTATGTAGCTATTCCTAGCAAGGGTTATAGCATGTTCAGGAGTACACCAGATGATAGTTTGAGAACCCCCTGCGAATGAGTTTCAAAAGATTTTACAGCAAATAAGTATTTTGTGGTTGTTTTTTCTGTCTTCTCTGGCAATGCTCCTTGCAAAGAGTTTGTGTGTCAGAGATGCAACAAAAATTTTGTCACAATTGATTGTACCTATGGTGTTTCATTTTAACCTGTGTAACATTCTTAGGGTACTTCTTACAAGTTTATCATTCTCAAACAAAACATTATTTTGTAAAAACATCTCCATTTGAAAATCAAACCATGGCTCAGTGTATGTGCAGGGTCAACCAGTACACAGCCCCATACATCATTGTGTATACGGTTTGTGTATTATGAAAATAACGGCTTAAAACAATAGACTACCTTTGGCACAACAGCTTTGTTTTAGAATAGTTTGGGGTTGTACTGAATTCTTCCCAAAATTACTCCAAGAAGCAATACAGTTTTGCCATCAGTAGTCTGGTTTGTTTTTTGGTACCTGTATGCCCTAATGTCCAGTGTCACTGGTCAGAACATGTTAATATTCATATCCAGGTGTTTGTGGTTTTGAGGATTTGACAGTAATTCTCAGAGCACAAGTGGACATTTTTCAACTACTTATAATTTTTCTTGGAGGTGTCCTATGCAGATTTTTTAATGGAAAGCATTCTAATTATTACTGCCATTATGATAATTAACCCCAAAGTTCTTAATTGTTTCAAAATTACTCCTTGTCAGCACCTTAGGAAATGTATAGAGAACAGTATGGAGAATATGCATACTGATATTAAGATGAAAAGGATTAAATGTACTATTACCACTACTTAAATTTTGGATTTTTCTAGACTGAAAGACTATTATTGAACAGCAAAAGTACAACTTTAGGGTCTACCCATAGCTTCTTTTTACAGATTTCAAAAACCAAACTTTAAAATTGAAGAAAGGGAACTATTATCCAGCAGTACATCTGCTCCTTTATTTTTACCAGAGTCCTGTAATGTATATCAAGACACCCTTTTCTAATCATTAAATGATGTTTATATTTTTTTTCAGTGGTGAATACACTCTAAACTATGTAACCTGACTTTTCAATTATTATGAAATAAATCCTCATAACTTTTGGAGAGGGAAAGGTTTTGCAGTTAAATATTTGCTTAGAGACACCACATACTTTGACCATAGAGTTACAAATCCTTTAAGGCTGCAATTTGCATAAGGGAAGTAGAATGAAATTCTTATTTTGACCTGGTTACTTTGTGAGAGTTCAAGACCATGTTTGAGGGGTGGATAATGCTATCCACTTGATAACTCTCTATCAGGTGGATACTGCAGCTTATTTCATTACCACTTATCCACTGGGTTGTGATTATCCACCAGATAGCATTATCCATCCTTTTCTCAACTGGGTTCAGTTCAGTTAGTTGTGAACAATTTTCTTAAACGATACTGCACAAACTAAACATATGTTACAAAAGGAGTAAAATAAAAAAGGACCAGTATTTTTTTCTTTGGCTTTGTCTTTTATTTCAGCCAAAACTACGCTATCTGGCTCATCAGCTAATTATTTTTTGTCTTGTACGGAGTAAACAGTTCTATGTGCCCCTCCAATACTGACAGATATGTTTGTGTACTCTATTTACAATTTTAGGTAATATTACCATTTACTCTATTGTATTATATCAAGACGCAATCAATCAAAGTTGAATTTTGACATTGAAAACAAAAGAAAAAAAAAATGTGTTACAAAGTTGACCTTTCAAAGGATCTAGGATAGTTTGGCGGTCTAGCTTAAAGAGAGTCCCTTCTCTGATTTGCCACTTTATGGAATATAGTTCTATACAGACATTAATTTCCATCATGGAAAAGATAAGCACGGCTTGACTAGATGAAATTGCATGTAGGTAGACACAGAATAACACTGTATTTATTCAAAAACCTAGTGCAATTACCAAAACTCAACATCAATTTAGAAAACAAAGGATTTTGGTGATGATTTGGCTGAAATATATGTGTTAAGGGTTTGAGTGATAGTATAGTACAGCCTGGATGAACTTTAGCTCATGCAAATAAACTGTTCCTTGTCTCCTCAGAGTGATTGGATATTACAAGTTAAAAACTGCAACAGATAGATACAGAAAATTGTCAATTTTACTTACTCTTGTCATGCCCCACAAAAAAAAAAGAAAATAGTGATAGCCAGCTAAAATATATTATCTTACAAAATCGTGCACAACAATTTTATGATATCAGAGTCAATTGGAAGCAGTGCCATAACTTGGGCAAGCCTCATCATCATAAACTCCTTGTACTCTAAGATTTTTTGGATCAAAAGGTGCTTTCAGGTGTATTTTGGCAGGAAACAGCTCTCCCATAGATTCAATGGTATATTTTCCAGTCTTCAAGAACTCTGTTGTGACAGGTTTTCCACTAGGATCTCTCACATATCCATAAGCCAGGCTTTTGCCGATAGCATATCCAAACTCTCCTCTTCGGATGAAACCAACCACTTCATTATCTCGCCATATTGCTTCAAGACCCAAAAGAGCTTTGTGACTAAAAAAATAAGAATAAAAAAGTATAGTATGGTCAAACGAATTCTATTTTCCATCTTCTTTAGTGTAACACAAAATACCTTCAATGCTGTTGACCCAATCAGTATTCACAATATTTAACTCATGTATGATCTTAACATTTGGCCAAGCTCACTCAAGAGTTCTAGAGCATTCAACCACAGAGCTTGAAGGTCAAAGGTTCAAGCCCTTTTGAAGAACTACCACCCATACTAATAAAACTTGATCAACCTCTTTACGCCTATTCATTTATTGGAAGTTTAAAATTTAATATGAATTACCCTTTACTTCTCACTCCCTGATAAACCTCTCACCCTCTAAAGTATCCTTCATGGCCTTGCCCCCATTTTGGCCTAACCCCTATTTTAGCCTTACCACTTCAAGTAGTGAGTTCTTTGTACAGTTGACATCTTTTTACACTAAAAGTTATATCTATTGATTTAAAAAATGAATTGCTGCGTATCAACTTCTATTCTTAGCTATCTCTCAATTATTTTATGTATGTGGACAGTATGATTACCCATACATCCAAGTAGAAACAACTCAGTCTGTAACTTACAGTGCAGACTTAGCATTTAGTTAGTAAGAAGTAGTGTAATAGTGCCATAGATAAAACCTAAAAATTCAATATCATTCCTTATTTTCTCTCATTTGAAACCATCTGTAATGTTCAGAAGTCTTTCACTCACTCTTCAATAGTAAAGCAAACTAGCTTCTTCTTGAGACCCTCAGCTTTCTGTTTTTCTAGAGCTTCTCTCCCAAGGAATGGGGTATCTGACTTCAGTTTGCAAGTAAATCCCAAGCCAGCCTCAAGTGGGGTGTCATCATGTCGTAAATCCTGATGCCAATGTTTATAGCCCTTCTCTGCACTGAGTGAGTCAAGAGCCCTGTAGCCACCATTCACAACACCAAATTCTATACCTGCTTCCATGAGTGCTTTGTAAACAGGTACACAGGAGTCATTTGGGATGTGCAACTCCCAACCAAGTTCACCAACAAAAGTGATTCTTAGGGCGCGAACATCATGGCCAGCAACATTGATGATTTTGTGCGTGGAGAAAGGAAATGCCTCATTGCTGAGATCTGCGGAGGTCAGGCACTGAAGCAGCTCACGACTGAAAATAAAGAGTACAGCAAGTAAAATGAGCTATGAGCTTGTAATGTAGGCAGTCATTAATTTTTTTTGCCAAGAACCCTTAAAGAAATGGAAAAAGGCAGAATGTCCAGATTCAATCCCCATCATTGCCTAGAGATACGTTCTTTTTTTTAATGGAGAACTGAGACCCAAACAGATGTAAAATCAAAAGAATGCACACTGCAATCTTTGATGAAAAATCATCTCACCTACCTAAGTTACAGAGCAACACCAATAATTTTTTGTGTCAATATATACCTCTTGGGCCCTTGAACACTCAACATCCCCATTTTCTCTGAATGATCTTCAAACTTTACATTGTACTGTTGGTCTTGAAGAATATTTTGCACATGACACCAACCATGCTGACCAATACCACCACCAACAGCAATGTAGAATCCATCACCTAACAAATAAAGATTGATTACAAATATGATAACTACAAACACAGTTATATTGTGCTGCATTATTCTCTGATAGTAATTCACTTACAAGGTCATCATTTTACATAAATTTGGGGCAGTGAAACTCACATTCATACATGTAAGTACACATTGAGTGATAAACAACCATTGATTGAAAGTTAAGAATTCTCTTCTTTATAAAGAGATATAGCTCAAAATTTTCTCTATCTACATGGACTGCAGATGTTTGATAAATATATTAGATTATTTTAGCAGTGTGTTGGAAACTTGTCAAATATGAACAAAGTGCCTCTGAATTCTCTGTCTTAGCTGTGAATTCATAAAGTTAACTACCAGTAGGTGGAATTGGGATCCACAGGGCAGAGAGAGAGAGAGAGAGAGAGAGAGAGAGAGAGAGAGAGAGAGAGAGAGAGAGAGAGAGAGAGAGAGAGAGAGAGAGAGAGAGAGGAGGGGGGGCAGGAGAAGAAGTGACACAAGGGGAGAGAAAACACAGGAAGCAGTAGAAAAAAGCAAAAAGACATCATTTGTCAATTTTTAAATATGATAGTGTTTAGCATTGAAGAGCTGAAGACAAGAGTCAAAAGTGTGGAGAAAAGAGGGCAATGGATGAAGAAAATTCTCAGCCTTCTGTCCCAGCCTCTCTCCTCTTTACCCTCCACACAACAAGACAATGTTTAACATTTTTCTTTAAAGCCTCAATCTTTCTTGTCATTTGCAACTGGTATAATTAAAAGCTATCAAGAAAGTCAATAAATAATATTCATGGCAAACTAGATCATAAACTCGATCCACATCCAAAGTGACCACATCACGAGACAAATGATTATATTTCTCTTTTGAAGTATTATTTACCATGATGAATAACCACAACCTATTTTACAACATAAACTAGATCTTATGGTGCTTACCCTCAAATTTTGGTTTTACAATACTTGATCCATCACCATTCTCCAAGACACTCACAGTGATGTCAGCTTCTGTGCCACCATCTTTGTTTGTCATACATGTGTAAGTTGTGCGCCCTATCAAGTATTCAATATTTAGTAATTATCATAACAGTTATTGATTTGGTCAAGCCTTCTGGCTTAAAGATTAAAAGAAAATCCATTGCCTCCACAAAACAATCTACTTGCCAAGAATGACAGTTGTTATTCTTACCACAAAGATTAAAATAGCTATTCTTGTGCTTATATAATGAACCATTAGCTTCTATTTTATTAAAAAATTCTTACCTAATGATTCTTTTTTTTCAACATTGCTCCTTTAATTAGCTAGGACAACACATTTTGGTGAAGATTACATTCAAAGGAGAACAACACAGCCAATGCAGGAGGAATCTGTCTAGTACCTGGTGGTTTTGCCATATTATTTGTGAAAATCCAGTCAGCTGCCTTTTGTGCGTCAGGTCCAGTCAAATAAAACTTGGCAAAGTAGGACATGTTGAACACAGCTACCCTCTCCCTACAAGCAAGGCATTCCTTTCCAATCTGCCAAATTAAACAAAATCCTTAAAATTCATTCAAACACTGCAGAAACAAATACCAAGCCATGGAATAAGCCATACAATAATACTACAATTTTTTTAACCTTTTGTTGGCAGATCATTTTTCTAGTCATAGGAGTGGAAGTGGGGGGAGGGGGAAGGGAGAATTCAACTGTTATTATCCAATCAAAATGGAAAATGGCTGCTGTGAAGTTTAGGGGGGAGGGGCTGTACAATCATAATCCTGCTTGAGCTAATCGGGTTCACCCTACAATCACCTTCTCCAACACAGAAATAGTAACTGAAACCTTCTCTCCAAAGCCGAGGTCCTTGCCCCCCCTTTACCCCTTCTCACTGATAAGGTAACCTTACAAATTAAAACCATCATTTCATGTATTGGTAATCATTTTATCTATAATAATATTTTACTTGGTTTCTTACAATGTCATGATGTGGTGGAAAGTCAAAAGTGTAATCCTGACCCAGTAACTCATTGTATTTATAATCCTGGTGTTCTTTCACATCATAAGCCCCATAGTAGTCATACTCCCTCACCTGACAATGAAAGAGGAAAAGATTCAAAGTTAAATTTCACCTTCAAACTACTCAGTTACTCTAAATGATAAGACACATGGCTGTATCTTATGTGAGGTAAATGGTTCATGCTGTTGCAGCGTATACCCAGTCTCCAAGTGATGAAGTATCTCTAGGTGTTTTTATTGGGAAGCCAATGTATTGGTGAGGAGCCCTGGCATTTCTCCACGTTTCCTTAGGTACCCATGTTTACTCCAAGGGGGAAGAGATAGGGAGAGTAAGGCATTTGGACAGTTGAAGAGCCTTGCCAAGTGAAATGACCTTTACCAATACATTTTGATGAAGGTGAAAAATGTTACCCATTAGTCCTCAATGTCACAAATTTGTCAGAGCATAATGGATCATAAAAAAATTTTGATAAACTCTTCCAAATATTTTTGATAACCCATGAACATCTTGTTATTGACTGTAATTCTTTCTGTTTCAAAGGCTATAACTTTCAAGGTGCTCATCATCTCTACACATCTGGCACACTACCATTTATCTCTCCAAACAACAAGCATTCTGATTACTTTTGCCCCTCAAACAAGAATGTAAGGTATAGAAACAAAATGAACATAGTCAAACTTTTTAACTTAACTTCCTTTCATTTTGTCTTGTTTTGCAACTACGGAATGGGAGTCTCTTCCCTAGTCCATTAACCCTTTCACCACTGAGAGTGACTAGCATTTAATTTATCCTTAGAAAATCACCCCTCAATGAAACATTATTGATCACCAACTAAAGAAGCTCTAGATTTTTAAACAAAGACTCCTTGTCAGCACCTTTGAAATTTATAGAGAACAGTATGGAGAATATGCATTCTGATGTTAGGATGTAAAGGGTTAATTTGAGAAAGAATTATGATCACCTCAGCTACTTCACTAGGAACAAACCAGCCTGGTCTTTCCCATCCATGACGCTCCTGATAGACACACCCTCTATCTAACAGAACCTGAAATCAAAAGTTCAACCTCAGAGGGGATTGCTTACTCATTTACTACTACCACCAATTATAAATATTCCAGCTGTCATTCATATTATTTTACCATTCTTGCACCATTGCTTAAAAAGTCCAAAATCTTACAAGGTATACCTTAAGAATAAAATGAGGCAAAGTGTAAGAAAGTAAAAAGTTAAAATTAAATTATTTGCTAAGTTCAAAATTCTCCAAGGAAATTCATGGCCCCAATTCTTCTCAGCTGGTTTTCCATCTAATAGTTTGCATGATTTGTATGAATTACAATCAAAATACACATTGCCTGATGAAAAGGATCACGTCGCATGTTTCTGGAAGCAAGGGGCTCGTCATGTGGGAAAAGCATTGAATAGTTCTTTGCATAGGACTCATGACTTCTCTCTCTGAGCCATTTCTGATTGGGTGTTATCGATGAATGGAAGCGCCTTAAGAGGTAAATATAAGAATGTATAAAAATTGTTACTAACTCATAATCAGGACTTAAAACATTGACATTAGAATTCACTTTCTTTCAGTTTTTTGAAGGTTACTGGTCGATTATACTTGACAACCACTGGATTTTTAAGAATGAAAACATCTGTTTGGTAAGTAGTTTATAGTTTGTTCTAGGGCAGTTTTTTTTTTTTTAACAAGTATCAAACCTTTGACTCCTCAGAGTGACCAGCATCTAATTTCTCCTCACATTATCACCCAAGAATCAAACATTAAAGTCACAAGAATAAGGAAAATAATCATCAACCAAAAATGTTCTTGATTGTTAAACAAATTCTCCTTGTCAGCACCTTAGGAAATTTATAAAGAACAGTGTGGAGAATTACATGCTTATTTTAAGATGTAAAGGGTTAAAACTTGCTCAAAATGCACTCTATAGACTATGAACTCAATCAAATGGATAGAAATAACAGCTGAGTAAATGAAAATCATTTATTTTGGGAGTAATGTTAACTAGATTTTGTGCAAACAAGCCTTGATTGTTTCTTCTAGAATTGTTCAATTATTGTGTGTAGTTACCTGATATCATATCCATACATATCAAGTTCAGGGTGACCATGAACCACCCAACGTGCCAATTCTCGGCCACACCCTCCAGCAAGCATGATACCTGCAGAATTGAATCCACAGCCATGGTAAAAGCCACGAAGCTCAGGGGCTTCCCCCATCAATGGTTTATGATCAGCGGTAAATGATTCAGGTCCACAGACAGTGGATTTGACACCAGTTTCTGCTATTACTGGGACTCTGTTGCATGCACCTTCAATATGAGCACTGAATATATCCCAGTCAAGATCAAAGAGGGAGAATGCAAATTTATTGCTGACCTGAAAAAAAAATACCCAAAGCTTAAAAAGAGATATATAAATTACATTGTCTGTAGGTCCTTCTAAATATTGGATGGTACTCCTCCAAAACTGCTTTGGATGCCGTCCAAAGCAGTCTTGGAGGTGCACTGCCCAAGATGAATTAGACAAAAATAAAATCACCTGGGGAGAAGCAAAGAGAACAGCCAAAAACAGGGTCTGGTGGAGATCCACAGTCCACACCCTATGCTTACCAGCACAAATGAAGATGGCTTAGTCTAAGTCCTTCTAGTAGGTTGAGTATAACTGACAGGACAAAATGCTACCCATTCCAGTTCAATTACACTGTAACTTTTGCAAGAGCTTAACCCTTTTGATTCAAATTTTGTAGCATAACCATTAAGCTGGTGATGATAAAATGAAAACTTTTTTACCTCATCCCAGAAAACTGGATTATGCTCATATCCACCAACAGACAGGCCATCTCCCTGGAGCTTGAGATAAACTGAGGCATCATGATCTCTGACATTAGGCATGTTCTGAATTCCCTCAATCCTCTCTGTCACAACATATGCATGGTACATGGCAACCAAAGGGACACTGACACCACACAAAGAACCAACATATGGTGACCACACCCCTGCACAGTTGACGACACAGTTTGTTTTGATGGTACCACTCGGAGTCTGTACCGCAGAAACTCGTTTAATTCCCAAGTCACTGACTTCTGTTTGAATTCCAGTAACAGCACAGTTCTCAAACACCTACAAATTAAAAAGATTTTAGTATCATATTACAATGTAATTATTCATCCTGCTGAGATACATTAATAACAATTTTTCATGTTTCCAGGTGACCTCATCCCCATCAAATAAGACTACAGTTTACTATCACAACTTTAATAACTATAAAAATGCAATAAAAAGATGTAACACGATTGGATGCAACAGCTGGAAATTTCCTCATAATCTGTGATGGTATTTAAGGAAGTCCATGAAAAATTAATAAAAGTGTGTCACCTGAAAATAAGTGCTTAGCTACACAGTCAAATGTTCTTGCCTAGTCAAATTTTTTACAGTATTATTCAATACCTGAGCACCATTCTTTACAGCTGCTCTTGTAAGTGAAGTAGCCCAGCTAGCAGGATCAATGGTTCCATCACCAGGGCTGTGGAGGGTTCCATATAAGTCATCCACGTTCAGCAGTGGATAAAGGTCTTTGGATTCCTTAGGACTCAGAACAAATGATTCAACACCATATACCTTGCCAAGCTGTTTATGAAACCAAAATGAAAAATTATTTGTCATTTCTGGTTCTATTTCAAAAGAGGCAGTTTAGCCAAATGGTGTACAAGCCACCAGGAGGTCTTAAGTTTGTAAAGAGATAATTGGTTTGCCTCCAAAAATGTTTTATACTGTTAGTGTTGCTGACAACCTTGCAATGCTATTATTAACTAAGGTAAATTATTTTCAGTTATGACCTCTAAGACCTCAGGGAATTTTATTCCTTCAAATAGATATTTTCAATGTTTCTGCATGCAAATTTGTGCAAGTGATTGCCTTTGGAGGTAGCTTATTCCAATAGAACTAGGAATATAAGGAACCCATGAGAATCTACAGCAAAAACAATGATGAAATTACTTTCCTGAGTGCAAGGCACAAGTAATTCCTACATGTAAGGGCTTCTTATGGATATCAGCTTTCAACCTAAATGGGCTATCCCATCTAGATAAATTTTAAGTTATTTTAATTACATCGCATCTAATTGGATGGGATATTGGTACACATTTTTAGAGCAATTATGCAGAAACAAAGTAAAGAAAAAAAATTGATGTATCTCAATGAATTCCTAATTGCTCTGAGAGGTACTTACTGTCATCAGCCTCTTGTATTCATCCAATCTTTCTTTGTTGTTGGCAATGAACAATCCTCCATTTTCATTCCATCCAGCCCAAAGTCCAGTCTCTTGTTCCAAGACATCCCTTGCAAGCACTCTTGTGGCTGCCAACAATTCCACTTCCACATCACTAGGACGTAACCTCCAAACCAGCCCAGCACTATGCCAGGTTGTTCCTGATGTTAACTGATCACGCTCTAATAAGACAGCATTTTTTACCCCAAGTTTGGTCAAGTGGTAAAGTGTACTGGATCCAACGGAGCCTCCGCCAATAATAACAACATCAGCTTCTGCTGGAATGCTGTCTGGAGCTCGCTTATCTTCTGTCTTTTCAAAAAATTAGATTTCAATTAAAATTAAATCTACCAACTCACTGGGAAAATTTTAAAACTGGAACAGCAATCCTTTTACTTGTTGGATTTTTAGGGTCTCCATGGAATTTTAGGAAATAATAAATGGTACTGCAAGCAGTAAATTTTATCAGTTACTGCCAGAAAAGGAGAACACCACTGACTTTAAGACTGTTGATAACACACCATGCAACATGCTTTGCTCATTACCCTATCTTTACAAGAAATATTTTTGCACTTTGCTTCACATTGATAATGAAGATTTTTGATATATTGAAATGATACATCTTAAAATGATTAACTATACATGACAACACATTTTCTGAAATGTCTGTGTTTTATCTCATTTACCCCCAAAAAAGATGAAAATGTAATTTCTCCTTACAATATAAAAACATTGTTAAGCAGTAAGGTGATAAGAGTAAAGATAAACGTCAGTTAGGTGATATTGTTTGATTCAATAGCAAATTCTAATTATTGGCATTATAAGAGATGTTTGCAGGCAGTAAGGAGAATTAATATTGAGATCTTGTTTTGACTCCTGAAGAGGACTACTTGATATACATGTAAATGTACCTCACCAATGGTCTCTATTCTTGTACTTCATTGAATTGGTATGACCATTGCATGATTACATTTTGTTCAATGAGTATTGCCATGTTTGTGTTCTTTAATATAAAGCCTAGTTCATTCAGAAATGAATCAAAATAAATGCAAACGATTGATCTCTTATCATAGACATGGATTACCATACTTTGTATAGGTAATCACATGATTTCAAGTGCAATTTGGATTAAATAAGCACAAGTAAAATTTTTTCAAAGACTAACAAAATTGCACCAGCCTGTAGGTCAAGTGCAATTTGTAATCTTTGAAGAAATCAACATGTGCTTATTTATTCCAAATTGCACAAGAAAATCATGTGATTACATATTAATAATACACATAAACAAATTTGACAGGTTATCATAGTTATGCAGAAGCAAAGTGTGGGCATCTAGTGCAAAAATAATTTATTCAAACCTGTGTGTTTAGTCAAAAAAACCACCTATGATCAAAACAATAATATACAATGATATTTCACATCTTTAACACGCAAAAAAGCAGAGTCTCGCTAACTCAAGGAATTGTTCAGTCTGGTTTGTTACTTCTTTGCACTGAATTAACCCTCTTCTGCATCAAATAACCTAGAAACTGCATTTATCCTAACCAATCAGAACTGACTAATTTTTTTTAATGCATCTTACTGTAAACTAATTACAATAAAATACAATTGTATCTTATTGTAAACTAAACGATGATATTCGCATTTCACTCAAGCTGAAGAGTCGCGTGTAGCAAGGTTATTGGTTTTTTTCACCAAATCATTTGTATATGTGAATGTTATGGCTGTGAATATCTAAAAATCATATTTGTGAATTGCGGATATGGACGTAAGTGCGAAAGCGATCGTCGCAGTAATGAATACTATTTGAGAAGCAGTGAAAATAAGGCCTGAAAAAAAATTCTTGAATTTTTTTTCAGGCCTTATTTTCACTACTACTCAAGTAGTGCTCATCACTGCGAAGATCGCTTTTATATTTACGTCTTTATCCGCAGTCACATGTATGATTTTCATATATTTACGATCATTCATTCATAACTTCAGGGGTTGATTTGGAACCAACCTAGTAACTAGCTATTGTAAGGATCATGGGTTCAAAACCCTTACAGGCCTGAATTTTTCTTCAGGCCTTATTTTCACTACTGTTCAATTAGGGTTCATTACTGCGAGGATCACTTTCATATTTAAATATGTGAGTGTCCTAATTTTTAGTAGCCTGGTGAAAATTATAACGTAGACAAGAAATTGTATATCAAAATTAATAATTATTCAACTCGGGCTCATTGCATTTCCGTAAGACCGTCAAAAAAATTTGTTTAATGTCTGATGCTGTTCATCAAAATAACAATGAAGATTGAGTTATAGCGATTACACGGCATTACCTGCAATGTATTGTAGGGAACTTCTTTCACATCTGAATCTTTAGACGTGCTAGATTCATTGCGAGTAGCTTTCCAAAGGCACGAGGTAGAACGATTTAGGGCGACCTGTCGCGTATCTTTCAAAACCTTCGCCAGGCGCCACATCTTTCGCTTGAAATCAAACTGCAGTTAATATTTGTACACGTAGAATCTCAACCACACCATGTATACGAAAAGCGCATTGTAAAACACGAAAACACCACTCTCTGCCTAGAAGGAGTCAGGCGTTCAATAACAAGAAAGACTGGCTACAAGTTCAAGATTTTGGCCAATCACGAAGCTGATATTTTTCCCGGGACACTGTTCATCGAATCCAGTCACTAACTCGTCAGTCCGGTCTTTGTTTAAAAGAAATTAGCACAAGTCTTAAGGGACTCAGTCCTTCAAAATGGAAGAAGAAATACATCAGTTAAATAATTCAAATGTTTGAGAAAATATAGATCATTACGATACCCTGTTCAAGGCAGTTACAGATGAGCGGGTACAAAAATATCCTCCGATCCCCTTACAGCCATTCCTTGATATGTCACGCAAAACCCCCTCAGAGGCTTTCGTGGGATACATTGCGTGACACTAGTAAACCAGTTATGGGCTCCTGGTGACATCCAAATAATAGCTGCGAAGGAGACTACTGATTTCCACTTCCCAGGTAATCTCAGTAGCAGATCTAGGGAAGGGGCCCGGGGGGCTCCCCCCCCCCCGCATATTTTAGGTAAAAAGAAAAAGTAGGTAATTCAGTGTTAACAACTGAGTTGAAAACGTAAATTGGCCACCATAAAGAGTTAAAGGGCTGACGTTTCGAGCGTTAGCCCTTCGTCAATCGCTCTGAGGAAGGGCTAACGTTCGAAACGTCAGCCTTTTAAATCTTTACGGTGGCCATACGTTTTCAACTCAGTTGTTAACACTAAATTACCTGCTATACTCTTCCACCGACGTAGCACCACAGTTTCTTTAGAAACTTACCCCCTTTATTAAAAGAAAAAAAAACAAAAAACAAAAAAGAATCACAGAAGGAAGAAAAGCCGGTAAAAAGGCAAGCGACAAAAAACCACCCTCCCCCCCTCCCTTAGCTCAAGGTCTGGATCCACCACTAATTCTCCGATTGTCGCTGACTTTTCTCACTGGTTCAATGACGTGGTATAAACCATAAGAGCGATATAGAATTAAGAGAGAGTCATGAGCCCGTTACCCATAGTGGGCTCCTGAGAGAGTCTAAAGACGATATACAATAATGACGGTACTTAAAGTACTTACCGCTTCCCTTCTCATAAATCATCCATATGAAATCTTTGTATGTCCTCCCGTTTTGGATTATTTTAAGCACGATATACTTTGCCTAGTTAAAGGCAGTTAAAAGCTTTTCTTCGTGACTTTTAATTTCGAAATGGAAAGTCTGTAAGTATCTGCTCAGATTTCTTGATCAAATTAGGATGTGTCAAGGCCTGGCCACGGAGCCCGAGCTTCACAGCCACCACCATCATGGTTTCGAAGTTGTAAACATGGATTTGAATGGGGGTGGATTAGATAACAATCACGACAAAAGCTATCAAATGGATCACGAAGAAGTGGAGGATTTGTTTAAGAAGCTCGACAAGAACAATGATGGAAGGATTGACCTAAATGAACTTGCGGAAGGACTGAAAAATCTGCATGGTTCAAGATACAAGGCCGGCCAAGCTCAGGTGTGTACAAATTATAATAAAAACAGCCAGCAAAATTGACACCAAAGAATATTTTGTATAGAATAACTTTGAAACATTTCTGTTTTTATTCCATCTTCCTTTTTTGTCGCCTTAAGGCATAGATACGAATTTCACCGGTCATAAATGCAATCTGTGTATTTGCGCACACTAAATATTGGTTTTAAGTTGGTTCGTTTGGGATGTAAATTGCTTCGCTCAATTTGAATAATTTTGTGCCCAGTTGAAATCATGGTGTGCGGTAAAAAATGTGATAATCAAGAAGTTTGCCCTTTAATTTCGTACAGAATGTACAATGTTTCGTTTTTGATTGATTAGTGTCGATTTATGGGTACTATCGAACAGCCCGAAAATTTACCTCACCGGTAGAAATAAATCTGTACGATCCTTGACTATTCCACGCTTGAATTCAAGTAAATTAGCCTTTACCTTAATTTTCCAAAAAGGCGTAGCTATTATTGATTTTGTATGATTCCCTGCATTTTAATTCAAATAGAGTTGCAAAAGGAAATTTCCTTATTTAACATGTTTGTACATTTCACTTCATTTAACATGAAGGAAAATTTACACTTGTGTTATGTACACAATTAACGAAGGAAAACATTTCTGAACTGCATGTTTAATTCTTGTAGATTTTTTTACACTGTCTTAGAAATGTTTCCTATAAGGACAATTAAAGCTTCTGGGAGTAAATTCTGCTGCAGACTTACAATTTTATGACATACCTATTTGTCAGAAAATATGCAAATTTACTTCTACTTGGTACATATTTTGAATTTTCCTGTATACCTGCAACGATTTTTTTTCTGAGTATAAGTGCGGGTAATTGTAGTGTCAAAAATGTTAGGATTCTTTTTGATATTTTAGACACATTTCAAATTCTATCAATTTTCATAATTTATAATTAAATGGAGACCATAGGTGAATGCATAAGTTCTCAACTATTGAATTTAGTGGTTTGTGGTCTTACACTGCAAGAATTCATGCTACCAAAAATGTATGGTTTAGGCTTTTGCCCTTGTCTCCTCTTTATTAGAGACAAAATTAATTAATTAATGATGCAGAAAAATATTAGAAGCATGCAAGCAAAAAATCAAGGTTTGAAAGTGATTGAAATTAAATCTTGAAGTTCATAACCAAACCACTGAGCAATTTAATCTGTTGCCCCCACTTTTTTTGGTACTTTTTATTGTCCATGTAATAAATCCTCCTTCACTCCCATTATCTGATGAGAGTTTCCCTCAAACTTGTAAAATAGGATTGGAATCATGTTACTATCATCAACTTATATCAGCTAATTTCGCCGCTGCTAAATAACAAAGCCCCTGTGGACTGTTTTTTTTTTTTAACTTTTATGGTCAGCATTATCATCTTTTTATCTGTGTTGCCTACAGTTTAGCAGAAAATTACAAGGAAAAAAATCATAGGAAAAAAACAAATTGTTATGACTACATAGTTAAATAAGAATTGGGAGAAAGTATTTGAAAAAACTTAGGGAGCTATACAGACCACTTGACAGCTAATCTAGTATTGAAATCCAGTGGAATCACTTGTTCTTGTGATTGCTATAATTATATTTGTCCTCTTTGCTAATATAGATTACCATTATGAAATGATCTCCAAAATGATTGATCAAAGCTTATCCTACTCAGATGCTCTGGAAAGGTTGGGGTGTTGTGGACACTTGTCTTATATGAAAACTAGATTGTACAGACCAAAAAAGAGACTGAATTAAAATGTTGATCCTATCTTTTTTCAATTTACTGGTAGTTACACCAATCTAAAATACTTTTCCAGTAAATACAATTTACTTTCCTTTCTTTATTCTTTTGTTTTTAATGTGTTTCTTGGCTTTTAGAGAATAAGGCTTACAGCATGTTTTGTGATGTCCATTTCAGCAAATTATGAACCTTGGCGATCAGAACCTTGATGGGCAGATGTCATTTGAAGAGTTCGTCAAATATGTGACTGACCATCAGAAAAAATTGTGGATAGTTTTCCAGTCTATTGATCAAGATGGCAGTGGTAACCAATATCTATAAATTAATTGTTAATTTTTAGGAGTCTAAAAGAGATTAGAAATCCTAGGGAAAGAGACCTTTTTGTATTACAAATGAATGGTTAGTCTCTAAAATGGGTCAATATGATTCCTTCAGTCTCTACATTTTATCTTTTTTACTAAAATTTCTGGTGCAAGAGAAAAAAATTAAGAAATCTGATTTTCTCTTCAGTATTGAAGTATAATTTTGGGAGCTACATCACAATATAATTTGGCCTTATTAGGGTACTTGAGAATAATACTGTTCTTCTACAGACTGAAGGAAACTTCAAGAAAATGTTTTTAGTGTCATTTTCGACTAAAGGAAGAAACAAATAAGGAACAGGGTAGTCAAGGATTAACATGGGCTGTAGTTAATGAACTTGAGACATTTGCATTTAGCAATATGCTTTTTTAGTGTGGAACATCAGAGAATTCTATTATGGCAAGTTTCCAACTAAATTCCAATGGCCTGAATTATTTTTTAATTCAGACACAGGGAATATTCTCCTATAAGTTAACACTTTTTCCCTGCTGCAACATTTCTCAATGAAAAGCCTGATTTGAGGGGAAATTTTTCAAGATGCATTAACTGTGATGCAATTCCCATATATTAAGTGTAAAGGCAAGGTAATGTTCATCATATATCTCAGTCAATTTAGCAGGCTATATTTCACTGTACAGCCTGCTAAATTCAGGGGTTTCTTTTAATTTAAATCCTCCCCCTCTATTTGAATCCAGAGATGTGATGAATATCTGACTAACCTTGTTTTCTTGGTCTATACTGTAAGTTACAGGACCTTGTTTCACTTCACCCTGGGCTATAAATCGTATTGGGAAAAACTTGCTCTGTAACTTAAATTAGAGACCTTGAACTGGGTTAGTAAGAGGTATTTATGTAAAGGCAAAGGTGTCATTGGACTTATTGTCTGCTGGTCAGGATGTGTGGATAAAACAGAACTTAAGAAAGCTTTTGAGGCCGTGGATGTTAAGGTAACAGACCAGGAAGTGGATTTGTTATTGAAAAGGTAAAACATTTATTGACAGTATTATTTATTTAAGTCACTAATCTAGTAGAAAATATAAATACCCCCCTGGGCAGTTTATTTTTTATTTTGGCTCAAAAGATGCACAGATAGTTTCAAGTGAAGAAAGGTTGAATAATACAGATACTCTGTGATATTGTTATGAAAAATATTGACATTCATGGTATCAAAACTGTCTAAACTTTTTTCAAACTAGTGAAATACAAAAATTACCCCAACTTTTAAAACTTCAGAAATGCATTTCTGTTGTAGGAGGCACATGTCTTGAGTAACATCCAGTCATGGCTTGTAATTGGTCTAGGGGTCTCGATACTTTATTCCATAAGCTGCTTCCGATGGTGTAATAGGCAACTGTACCCAGAGAATGGGTACAGAGAATGTGCCAAAAGGTGAAACCAAAACACAAGAGCTGTCTGGCAGGCTAAACAGGCAACAATAAGTGGTCTTATAGAAGCAGGGGTAAACTGCCAGTAACCAGCTTTTACTGAAACCCTTGTTGTCTGGATGAGGGTAGAGCTGAACAACAGTTTTGTTGACAGATGCTGTGAGAGATATTTGGACTCTCTTAAAATTCATCATTACAGTCGTGTGTCATTTAAAAAAATCCTCTTCAAGGCTACCCTCACCTAGAAGATCCAGCTGTAGTGTATAGTTTTATTAATGTACTTTAGAAACACTTTACCTTTTAAAATCGTCAGCATGGACAAGGACAAAACCCTTAAAGTTAACTGGAAAGAATGGAGAGAATATCACCTGTTGAATCCCAGCGGCCATAGTATGCATGACATCATTCAGTTCTGGAGACATTCTAATGTAAGTGACTTTGACCTTTTCATTTCATGATCTTTTTATGATCTCTCCCAACATCTGCCTGCTATGAATTTTGATGTTTGCTCCAGACCTATACTTCACTGGTCTCTGTAAAAATGTGTTAATTTTGTTGAAAGAAAAATGTTGATCAGTTCTGTGAGTGACCAGGTTATAATGGTTTAGGTTTGTAGACCCTGCAGTTAATTTGTGTTTCAACACCTTTTATCAACCCAAATAAAGCATCTTCATTTGAATTTTTTCAATATTTGTGTTAGATTCCCCTGAATACTTGTATTCTGTGGCTTTTCTGTTTTAGATATTAATCGTCTTTGTTAGTTTTTTCAATATGTATCATTTATCTCTGATGTCCTCAGGTTATTGATATTGGGGAGGATATGACTGTTCCAGATGAATTCACTGAGGAAGAAAAAGTGTCAGGAATGTGGTGGAGACAGCTGGTGGCAGGGGGTGGAGCAGGAGTTGGTTAGTGAAACTAGGGCTTGTCTAGATCATGCCTTTCAGTCAAGGAATTTGAGTTGAAAATATTGAATTAAACGTCTAAGATGGTGCAAATAAAAGAAATGATGGGAAACTAAAGAAGCTCTTGATTGCTCAATAAATTCTCTTCATCAGAACTATGAGAGATGTATGGAGAACAGAATGGAGAATCTGGGTAGTGATGTAAGGGTCAACTCCTTTAAATGCACCCTGGTTAGCTTGCAGTTATCTCCAATCCAGCTAGCCCAAATTTGTTTTTGTTTTTTTTAATTTATTACAATTTTTTTTTTTGCAAGGATGCTTTTCAGATTACAACAAGCTTAGTGCTAACCCTTTTAAATTTGTTTCATTCCAGTGTCAAGGACATCAACTGCTCCTTTGGACAGATTAAAAGTTTTATTACAGGCAAGTACCTAAAATTGAAGGGGTCATCATGTACAGGTGATACACATGACTACATTTTTATCAGGGAGTGCTGGCCAGCAGAAATAATAACAGTCTGCTTACTAACCTTACTGACTATCTAAGTAAGGTGTTTGACTAGATTGGGAGGGAAGGAACAATTAATGAATGCTTTGTGCTTTCTCGTTTTTCACAATAACAATAAGTCAAATGGTTGCAGACAGATTATTAAAGTGGGAAAATTTTGTTTTATTCCAGGTACAAGCATCAAGCCAAAATAGAATAGGAATTTCTTCTGGTTTTTCCATGATGATCAAGGAAGGTGGAATCAAATCACTTTGGAGAGGAAATGGTGCTAATGTGGTCAAAATTGCACCAGAATCAGCCATAAAATTCTTTGCTTATGAAAGGGTATGTTTCAGTTAATAAAAGACACCAGAACATTGAAAGTTTTGTGTTAACCCTTTAACACCTAAGAGTGATTGGCATCTTATTTCTCCTTACAGTATTACTGTTGAATCAAACAAAAAGGCCATGAGAATAAGGGAAATGATCAACCACGAGAGAAGCTTGTGATTGTTGAACAAATTCTCCTTGTCCGTACCATAAGAAATGTATAGAGAACAGTAGGGAGAATATTCATACTGATCCTAGGGTTTAAAAGAATCTTTAGGTCTTTCCTAAGACCTACCAAAGGATCTTTATCTGCCATAATTTTTCTGGCAGTTTTTAGGCTTAAAAAACCTTCTAAAATCGTTCATGTTCTGTCATTTGGTACAATATGTAGTTCACGCTGGGATTGTTTGTTCTTCAGGCAAAGAAGCTGTTGGGTGCAGATGAAAAGCAGCTGGGGGTCAGAGAAAGACTTATGGCAGGTTCAATGGCTGGAGTAGCTTCACAGACAAGTATATACCCACTGGAGGTACTTAAACCAGCGCGATCAAGGAATGAAACTTCTTGAAATAGTTGTAAAAATAAATTATGAAAATCTATCTTAAAATTTGTTAATAAATGACGAGAAGTTGTCAAAGAAAAAGCCAGGAGCCTGAGAATAGAAAGGTTAAGAAAATGAGCCATTGGAAAAAATGTTGCTCTTAAGTAATCCTCTAGCCTTTCTTTTTGACGCTTTTTAGGGATCAACGAGAGCTTAGATTAAATAAAGTTTAGTTTTTAACTTATCACAGAGTAGAGTCACACGAAAAGCAGTGCATGCCTAGTTTACATTTGAAACGCAATTCCAAGAAATTAGTGCAAATAGTGCCAAACATGGAGCCACCTCAAATATCCCAGCGTTTGTCTTTTCATTCAGAAAAAAAGTAAAAAGAACAAACAATTGGAGGTATTGTTCATTGTGGCTATTTTGCTGACCAACTCCTTATTTCTTACGTTTCATGAGAAGGCGGCCACGTGTAGGTGTAATGTTCTTATCAATGCCCTTATTGGTTTATAGGTGTTGAAAACAAGACTGGCGCTTCGTAAGACAGGACAGTACAAGGGTCTTGTCGATGCGGCATATGTCATCTTTACTACTGAAGGAATCAGGAGTTTTTATCGAGGGCTGTTCCCGAGTCTTTTAGGAATCATTCCCTATGCTGGAATAGATCTTGCTGTATACGAGGTTAATCTTAATTTTCCTTCTTGGTTCATTGCCTCCTTTGTGTTCAGTTACACTTTAAACCCGCGCTACATTAGCGCGTTCATTTTTCTGAGTTGAAACAGTTGAATAACCTTTTATCATCATTGTCTTTTTTTTCAGACACTCAAAAACTTTTACCTTAACTACCACAAAAACCAGTCAGCTGACCCAGGGGTGTTTTTACTGTTAGCGTGTGGTACAGCGTCCAGCACGTGTGGTCAGTTAGCTAGTTATCCGTTGTCATTAGTGAGGACCAAATTACAAGCGCAAGGTATGAAGCTACGTGCTTTTGCAATGTACTTAAAAACAATGATGGGGGTTGATGGTAGAGAGAGGGCAGAGAGCAGTGGCCAAACGTCAACGCATGTCATTGCGAACGTTGTGATTAATTGGTGACGTGCTTCTAGGCTGTCAATGCTAAATTGTCTCTCCTTACGAGGAACTCAAAATAAAATGCCAAATCAAAATCAAGTACTCCTTTTCGTCTCTGTGTTTCCTTGTAAAGATTTCCATAAATGTTTCAATTGTCATTTGCTTGTTTTAGTTTCAAACTTTGCGTAAGAAATTGGCGCGCTAACGGCTAGATTTGATTTCCTCGCGCATGCCCGACGTTTGACCGCTGTTCCCATTTGAATGAGGTGTAGCCTGATAGCAAGGTCTCGTTTGCGCTGCGGCACGAGTGGTGATGACTGCGAGAGGGGTCAACTACGAAATGCTAGACATCACAGGCTTCGCCACTCGTGCCGCAGCGCCTCTTAGAGCGGTGGCCTTTTGGGCTATGCGTTTAAGTTTAGGCCACGGCTGTTTGAAGGTTGGATAACGCTATCAACTAAGTAAATCTTTATCTGGTGGATAGTGCAATACGTTTTGCCATCACTTATCCGCTGAATAGCGATTTATCGGTTGGATAGCGTTATCCGTCCTTTCTACAACTGGGCCTTAGGCTGGAACTTGGCGGGGGTCATTTTCTTGGCACTCTCCTCTACTAGTGCGTCATCCCAGTAGTATGCATCGGTACCGTGAGCTGTCAGGGAAGCTTGAGGATTTGCTGAGTAACCAGCGATGGACCAGAGTACCATCCAGGTAGAGCGGTACTACTCCCTGTTGCTTCATAACACAAACCGAGATAAACCCCGCTAGCTATCCCATGCGGTTTCGTTACAGACATCAGTAATGACATATTTAGCCAGATAATTTTAAATCATTCTTTTTTTGTAACATTTATATGAAACGTCTTTTCTTTCCAGCGCGCTCCCGCACTGCAGGCAGGGGAGATACAATGGTTTCAGTAATTAAAAACATTATAAAAGAAGACGGACCACGTGGACTTTATAGGGGACTGGCTCCTAACTTTATGAAAGTTGCGCCTGCAGTCAGTATAAGTTACGTTGTGTACGAACACTTGAGAATGAACCTTGGCGTTAGATAGAATACTCGATGGTCTGATTTGGGGCAAATGTATATCGAATGAGAGCATAATGTAAACGCGATATAAGAGTAAAAGAGAAGAATACACGACAGAGAGAAAAAGCTTGAAAATATAGGCGGTTTTCCTGCCTGTGATAGCATAGGAAGTCTAGCAACATTAATATGGACTATTCGATTTGATATAATTGCACGAACTTTAATTTTGTTTTTATGAATTCTCATGTTTAAGACATTCCGTCATGGACAGCAATTTTAAAGCTGGAGTCAACATTTTGTTGTGGTTATTTTTTTTAATTTTTGACGAGGATAACCTAAGGGTAACCCGAGAAGGTTATGAATGACTGTGACGTCTTTTACTAACCCAATCTGAGCGCTCTAAAAGCTAGGGGACTGGATGACGTATCACTGTCATGTGGAGAGCGTAGGAATGTCACTTGCTGATTGGCTGATAATATCGCATATAAATTCATCGCATATAAATTTTCCATGGGAGTAAAATATTATGCAAGATCGTGCTTGGTCATAGTATATTGTTGTAAATATATATTTTTTTTGTTTAGGCTTTGTGTCCCTTAAGATAAACTTTTATCTGATCTGTTGCCAGGGAGTCTTGCTGAGAAATAATTTCTCGACCTTTCCTTTGATCGTTAGTTTTTAACTTTAAAATTTTAACAGATGCATGAAATTCAGAAGTTGCCTGGAAATGGCGTCTAATCTCTCCATATGATTTAAAATCTGCTTAACCCTTTTACTCCCAAGATCTGATTGTTAATTCTCCTCTGTAGCTGCTACACATTTCCTTGTAAATTAGTTATGAGAACTTGGTGCTAGATCAAGATAGCAGCTTCTACCTGATAAGTTTGAATATTCTCATTACCTTTTTGTTGAAGAATGTATGGATATTTTAGGGAGAAGTTTTATGTTAATAACTTCTGGGAGTTAAAGGGTTAATCTTTTCTCTCCATTTTTATCCTGTTTTCTCTTTTTATATGCTTTCCTTCTTTCTTTCCTTTCTCATCCCTTCTTATTCTCTCTGGCTTGTCTGTTCCAGACCACACTGGTTCCATGATTTTTTAACTTTTCTGCCAGAAATTTTGAGTTTACAAATATTAACAAAATTATCTACAAACTGCTTGTTCAATTTAGGAAATCACTTTTATCCTTGCTGCTTTTAAATAATCGCATCTTAAGATGAAGTTATATTACGATCGCCATTTACCTTATGATAAAAATGTTATCGTAATACACTGACACACACGGCTGTATTCTCTCGTTTAAGCGATTTGCGAGAAAGGTCTTTATTATTAAAATGGATAGAATATTTATACGAGCTGTTAAACATTTGTGTAGCCATCGTGTTTTGCGGAAGGGTTCTGAAGGGAATTACTTAGTTTTAACAAAGGAGTAATTTAGTGGTTACGTCAATTGTAAGCGTAGGTACGTAGTGTTACAGCCATGAATGATCTTTAGGTGTCTTTATCGATGTCAGAAGGTTGAAGGATCAAACGCCCGCAAGGACTATTTGAACTAAAATGAAGGCTAACCTCGAGCAAAATAGAACATCGTTTGCAACGGTTTGCATCACTGTTGCATTTCATGTAATTTCTTGTTCCATATTCTTATCGTTTTATTTTCTTCATTGTATATTCCTCTTCTCATCTCTCCTTCCTTATTAACGCTTTAACCCTCAAGAGTGATGAGCTTTCTATTTCTCCCTAAAGTATCACCTCTTAAATAGTAAGGTCGTGAGAATATAGGAAACGATCACCAACCCAAAGAAACTCTTGATTGTTGAACCAATTATCCCTGTCAGTACCATGAGTTATGAGAAGAGGACGGAATGAGCATACTGATATAAGAATGTAAAAGATAAACCAGTCCTCAGATTTGCCCTCATGAATTCGATGGTTAAGTATATCTCTTTAATACGACCCAAGGAGATACAGGAATGCCTCAATCTGACGAATGTTTGTTTATTCACATGTTGATAAAGCGTCTAATGTTGCGTGACAAAGTGATTCAATATTCGCTAATTACTAAGCACATAAATGAGCATATATGAGCGCTCCGGGCCCTTCAACTCGCAGTATATCAAGCGTGACTAGAACAAACTTGCTGAGTCACTTGGCAGCAAGGATTAGTTACATAATCGCTTGATTATCAACCTTTTAGAAGACAACAGCAAGTGACGGCGAACATGTTACTCCTGGAAGAACTCCCAGGGTTTCTAACAGTCTTGATAAACCTGCACATGAGGTTCGACTCGACATACGTACAGAAAGAACCCGTAAATTTTACTTCGCTGAATCCTGTCGGTGATTGCCCCGGATCACTGAACGGAGCAATGCGAGACCCAGACAAATGTCTTGTTGTCATCCAAGAATGGTGGGGCATGAACGAGCAGATAAAACAACAAGCGTTAGATATAGCCGGTTTGGGAAGTATGACGACAATTGTACCTGATTTATACCGGGGAATAGTGGCTGAGAACAGCACGGAAGCGTTCCATCTTGTAACCAACTTGGATTACGCGGGTAAGTTAATTCACAACGAGCACCCATATTTGCACTAGAGCGGTCGTCTATTTATCTCGGATTAGAAGACGACGATTTACTAGTGTGGCATATCATTTCCTTCATATGTATGCTCGTGACTGACCATTGGTTTCGAAACTGATCAAACGTGAAACGTAAAATATTCAGGCATAGTCGCTCAGCTCAGCTGCGTAAATTACTCGCGAGATTCGCGCGTGACATTAAAAGGAGTTTTTTCAGCCGTTTTGTCTTCTTTGTCAATGTGATTAGCGAAAAATTTGACGACTTGACATTATCTAACTCGACCAACTCGACATTGAGAGGGGAATGGGGTTTGCAGTTTTGGTCGAGCGTTGATATTCAGTTGTTATTCATTTCACAGGTGCCATCCAGGATATTAAAGGTGCGGCACAGTACCTTCTAAAACAAGGTTGCAGGAAAGTTGGTGTTACTGGCTTCTGCATGGGAGGTGCCTTATCACTCGCCGCCGCAGCTCTTGTGCCAGAAATCTCTGCCGCTGCACCGTTTTATGGCATTCCTGATCCTCGGCTCGCAAACATGTCTACCATTAAAATACCGGTGCAGTGTCACTTTGGCAAATTAGACCGATCCAACACAGCTAACATTACAGAATATACCAAGCTCAGGCAACAACTGGACGCCGGAGACGTGAATTACGAATTCTATGAATACGAAGCTGGTCACGCTTTCACCAATCCGCACAGCAGAAATTATAACGAATCCATAGCTGAGCTGTCGATTGGTCGAATGATTGACTTCATGAAAAAACATTTAGGAGGTTCAGGAAAGTGATGAACACCCTGTGGGAAACAATCAACCATTCTTTCGCTTACTTCCTATTCTTAATGTAGGCACAATAAGCTGCTTAAGCACTGAGTCAGCGATTAGAAATAAGAGAGCACACTGGGTCGCAGTGGTTCGAGCCCTGGGATTTTAACTACCATGGGAGTTCTTTTTTTCACAGCCCTAAAAGCACTATTGATTAGTTACTGCCATCATTATTGTAATTATTAATTTTTTTCACCGCTACAAATTTATGCCGGCCTGGATTATTGATTTATAAAACATACATGGCTTTGACTTCGTTAAACTGTGATGAAAAAAAAAAGTAACAAAACGAAAAACGTTGTGTCTCAAGATGTCTTTCAGCTCAGTAAGTAATAAGCAAAGAATCTTTTTGAGTGATCTCGTCGCATTGGTGTATCAAGACAGTCTGACAGATCAGGCGGAGATAGTATAACGCATGCGCTTTCTTTTCTTCAAATACTAAGGCGGCTGGTCACTTGAACCATTCCAACAGGAGATTATAAACTGAAAAAATCTCATGAACTGAAATAATTCTCAAATACTGGGTTGTGTACAACACAATAGTGTAAACATAAAAAAATTCAAACATTTATATACAAATACAATTTTACGAAATTGCACTGAAAAGCAAGACTTAGACTTCCCTTAACTACAAGTATATGAAAGACAAACCCAAGAGAGTTCAAAAGACTTTTGGTCAATTGAACATTTCCGCAAGGAAACGATAATTTTGCTAACATGTCGACTATAAAATTATGAAAGTAAGGAAAATTGTACCAATACGTTTTCAGAGCAATCTTCATCTAACTTACCGAGTTGAAAATTTCACATGGAAGGTAAGAAACATTGACTTTAAGAGGCGGAGACATGACCTGTGAGGTCTTGAAAAATGAAGCCTACATCCCTAAGCCATCCTTGCGCCTTCTTAGTTTATCACTGCCTCTTTGGCGTTTTTCTATACTTTTATAAGTTTTGCACAGCGCAAAAGATTTCTCAAAATATCGTATGGCCAGTGGCACTCGACTAAATTAGTTATTGCTTCCTATTTATCTGTAAAAAAGTTTCATTTTAAGAAAACTGCCATTTAAAGCGAGTTATTTACAGATACAAAAAAGCGTGGGAAGTTTATTTACAAATGTACACCAGAATCATTGGTGACACAGTTAACTTCTGCACCTATAATGATTTCCTCAACACTATGGCGGGATGGCGTCTTTAATGGCCCTCATCATTTGTCGACGAGTTGCATGTTACTTGTGGTCAAAGGACGAACTTCATCGTCTTTCTCTTTTTTAAGGCCATACCTAGGAAAACAATTAATGATTGCAAAGCTAAGTTATATTGTCACATCTGAGCATTATAACCTCCAATCCTGATCAGGGGCGTGGCCAACTTTTCGACTTGTTGGCCTGTATCCTAACAAAGTTAAATTTATTGTTCCCAAATTTGAAAGAGTTGTTATAAAAGTCAGGCGGGCAGAAAAGACTTCTAGGACCTACAAGACTATGGGCTAGCTACCCCCCTGCTGATAAAGAGCAACATATATATATTTTTTATTTATTTATTTTTTATTTTATCATTATTTTTTTTGATAAAGAGCAATATGGCGAGAGCTTTCGTAGTCTCCTTCGGAGACGCTTTTCGGTATGTCACGCAAATCTTTCGCAAGATCGTCGCGCAGGTGATAGCCGAAAGAACGACTGCAAAGGAGGGTAGAGCCACAGCCAGGGGTTGTCCTGCTCAAGTCCATACATTTACAATCCGTGATTTACCACTGCCTTTTGAAAAGTATAAATGAATTTATGATGACAACGCAGTTTGGGATTCCAAAGAAAACCCTAATCTTTAAACAAAATATTTTCAAATGTGTTCGAATCCTGCATTTTGTTTCTAGCAGCCTGGCCGCTTGCCTCAGGGAGACAGGCCGGGGTAAACGATTACCTTGGGGACAGGGCATGTTAAAAGCGCTCCTTTAAGACTGATCCCACGTTTTTTGTTTAGTGATAACGATAGTCATGCTTGCGAGTATTGAAAATGTTTAGGATAGGGTTTTGCATTACTTCAAGTAATAATAATAACATCTGATATCTTACCAGCATGTGACGCCTACACACAACCCCGCTAAGAGTACAGCACCACAAAATGCAGCAAAATAAAAATATAATAGCTTTGTCTTGCCCGATGTCCCATCAAATTCTGTTGGCTTCATGAAGTCAAGATGCAGCCGTGCCACACCAGTGATTTGATATCCTAATGCGGTATTGAGGGTTTCTTTATTCTCAGACTGTTTGACGATGGTATACAACACATTCTTCGATAAAAATTTGCCGTCTCCTACTGAGATAAAAAACCCCACCAGAAGCTCTCCAGGACTGTATGGGTCCTCCATCGGGTATCCAGGGACTATGTAAACTTGATAACTGGCAGTTAAATCAGAAGACAAAAACCAGCATAAGAAAAAGTAACAAAGTTCTCACTCATCAACAAGAGAAGAAGTCAATTCGCCTACGAATTGACGCATAAATTCACTTACACACTTACGCATAAATTCACTCACAACCTCAGCCAACTTACTAACGACTACCCCTAATTAACTAGTTTATGGTCTTGGTCAACTCGCCTTCAACTTGATGTACTTAGCACTGAGTTTGCAGACAAATTCCAACTTGAATGGAAGAAAATACGCTAACCAAGTCGTTGCTGGTACAAAGTCGTGTTTACTTTTCCAGGTTCATACCTACTCATCTATGCCAAATTGCTAACGATTCTAAATCAGATTTCGGAGCACGACTTTGCAAACTGATCAGCGATCAACACTCTAACATGCCAACTAGTCAGCGATGTTTAACATCTTGCAATTGGAATGTAGCGTGGTTAAAATGTCAAACTCAACTAAAAGTTATGATGTCATCGTCATCATACCTCTCTGGACTTGATTCGTCACATTTTTGTGGTGTACTGGAGCAGTAGTTTCCCACAATTTTCTTCACAGCGGCAGTAAAATTAACTCTTGTTTTTTCGAACTACAAGAACGCAATATCGAGAAAACTATTGTAAACTTTAAATTAACCCTTTACACCCTAACATCAGTATGCATATTCTCCATACTGTTCGCCATACATTTCGTAGGTGCTGACAAGCTGGTAAGCTCCAAAGCTTCATAGTTAGTGATCATATTCTGTATGCCTATGACCTTAATGTTTGATTCAGGGGTGACATTGTAAGGAGAACGTAGATGCTAGGTACTCTTAAATGTTAAAGGGCATGATTTTACCAGGAGAAGTCATCTTTTATTCGAAATGAAGTGAATGCATCGAATTCTGTTGTTCCGATTGGCTGAAGTGATTACCGTGATTGGTTTTAATTTTACGACAATCGAAATTTACTTTTAAGACAGTAAATAGCAAGGCAAAAACATGTGCGATATTTTTAGTTCTGCTATTTTTTTCTACAATAGTTAATTCTTCTCTGACCTTAGCTTCTGTCATGTCCGATATATATAACACCACTGCCTCTTGTTCTCCTCCAGATGGTGGTTGTGCTGTGGTCGCAGTTGGTGGTGCTGTGGTAGGGTAGGTAACAGTTGGTTGTGCTGTGGTTGAGTTGGTCACAGGTGGCGCAGACGTTGTGGTTGCGGAAAATGTTGAAGACGGTGTTATGCCAGTTGAGGCAACTGAAACTGAGAGAGGAAATGGATGAAAAATCGAATACACTTCTGTCTAACTTTGATTTTATCTATCTCCTAGGATAAGTCTTACAGTCTCACTTGGGTCAGAAAGTGACTGGGGTTGTAAACAGTTTAGTTTGTGGTTTCCACTATCTCAATCGCCTTACGCTAGAAACATCTCACTCGTTGGTTTCTATCTAAATCCTTCGACTGAATTTTTATTTTTGTATTTGAACAAATCAAAAAAGACGTTTTAGAGTTGTGTACCTGTTGAAGCGGTCATGGTTGCCAGTACTGTTCCCGTGGAATAAAGTGCTGTTGAATAAGCGAGCATGATGCAGTCACGTTTTAAATTCCTTTACTAAAATCAAGTTCTACCCCTACAACTTATCTCTCTGGGAGACCCTGTAAGAAAACCTCTTCCTCGAGCTAAGTCAGTTTAAAGCGGTTTTATTTGAGCTTGCGTGAAGGCTGCTGGAGAAACTGGCGGAAAATGCATTACACAAACCATTTTTTCGAAACATATATTTGGAAAATTATCCTCGATGATTTTCCAAGGTAATAGAGTCTCAACGGTGGCATTCTCTAAAAGTTCAGCCCCAATATACAACTATAATGAAATAAATTTAAGACTGCTTTTAATCTGGTTATTATTAATCATCCGAAGTTTTAAGACGCCTTTCTGTCACTTGTATGGAAAATATTTGTTGTATCCATAGATATCTGGGATATCATTATCAATATTGCCTACGTGTAACTCTCTGGTGGAAAAACCCACTTCCGCTGGTTAAAAGAGGTAGACATTTACGAAACTTTGCGATTTTGTTCCATTTTTCAATTTGTTTCCTTTTCGATATACCACGAGTGATAGTAGTGAATCGGTGGATTCTTACAACTACCAGGAGCTCATTGCTATAATGTACGGGTAGTGGGCTCCTGCAACTACCCAAGATTTATTTATTCTGTGAATACTGATGCACTTGTGAGGAAAGGTTTCTGCGGCTGATCACTATGCTCATATAATGCAGTCTCTTACAGGAATATCTGTCAGAATATCTTTGTAAAGAAATGATTGCATGGCTCCGAGGTCACCATCGACAAGAAACTAACAAACACTTCTCTTTCTGCACCGGTTATCCCGTCGCATTATGAACGCATTTTAATTCAAGTTAATTCAGTAGGTGAACGTAAACTACTAAGAATCGAATAACTTACATGTTTGAGACCGAGTTTGATAAACCTGAATGAGGAAATTCGTGGAGCGATTTTCTCAAAAGCATTTTAGCACAGTCTCTTGCCCATAGCAACGCGGAATTTTCTGCGAAGGTTTATAGAACTTCAATGTTTGGCAAGATGGAAAAGCAAACAAATCCGAAAAAATGCTCCAGAAACTCCGGCTTAATTCAATCATACTTCTTTATGGTGACTTGACACTGCGGGAGGAAGACAGAATTGAAATGCCCCTTACTTACATTCAAAGCATACTGAAAAGACAGACGCTTCCTTATTGAGACAACCGCGGAGGTCGATCGGCGTGATTTGCCTTTTTGTTTGCGATTGTAAAGAACAGAATCAGGAGAGGAGGTTCACTTAAAGGATTGCTCGTTAAAGCAATGCGAAAAATATAGCAATGATCTTATGATTTGTAAGTTTACACTAGAATACATGTGTATTTGATATCAAACAGCCAGCTTTCTGTGATTATGCGCTAAGACATTCAATATAAGCAACCGCGTGCATTGTTACTCACCCGTAGAGTGCGTAGAGTTAGCTGATGCCTCTGCCCGATCGCAAATTAAGAACAAAGCAGTTTGAAAGACAAAAAAAATCCCGAAGCGAAACATCACTGTTGGTAAACACGAGAACTAGCTAAAACTGCATCGGTGGCCAACATCGAAATCCGTCCGAAGCGAAATAGAAACTCGATATGTGGGTATGTTGACTTGGACTTGCACCAGTATACGTCACTAATCACCTAAGAACCGTATGTCACGCAATGTTTAGCGGTAAAAATTAAACAAATTAGCGAATACACTCTCACCCCTTTCCCCCCTCTCACAGAAAGAACAGAACGAAAAAAGAAAAAAAAAGAATTTTTAATACTCTGAAAAAAGCCGGTTTGGGAAAGATGCAAAAATAAAGATATCCACTGATATTCTGGGTACTGCATAAACTGACCCATAAAATGAAGAACAAAACAGTTTGAAGGACAAAAAATATCCCGAAGCGAAATATCACTGTTAGTAAACACGATAACTAGCTAAAACCGCATCGGTGGCCAACAAAGAGATCCGTCCGAAGCGAAATAGAAACTCGATCTGTGAGTATGTTGAAAGTGTACGTCACTAATCAGTTCCAGAAGAACCGTATGTCACGCAATGTTAAGAGGTAAAAAGTGAAAAAAATTAGCGAATACACTCTCAGCCCCTTCCCTTCCCCTCCCACAAAAAAAATCAGAACGAAAAACAAAAAAAAAGAATTGAAAAAGGATTTTTAATGCTCTAAAAAAAGCGGTTTAGGAAAGATGCAAAAAGAAAGATATCTGTGATAAGCCGGGGTGGTACTGCTTAGACTGACCGGGGGCCCGAGGAATTTTGACTCTGTCAGGAGCCCATGTCCTCCTGATACTGCACAAAAAATATTCATTTTTACTGGAATTTCACAGTTACTCATTTTGTTGTAGCTATCATCGTTGTTGCTGCTGTAATTTGTTCCTGTTGTATCCGAATGCGGGAAATTTCTTCGTTCCCCTTTTCTTCCTACGACGAGGCGCGCATCTAAGGACATCTCTGGAACTCTCGGAACTTAGTAGATAAGCCCTATTTGCAGAAGATTTAAGGAAAATCTTTGAGTATACAAGAAAGTTCGAATTTTCTTCTGATCACGTTGTTGTAGTCGTCTTCTATTTACACTTCCTTATCTTGAGCCATACTTACCCAGCGGTTTCGCTCTCAAAGTTACTTCGATAAGAACAAAGATGGCGGTGGATTTGAGTGTAGCACGCCGACAACTTTCAGAGGCTCTTGGGGACTACTCTCAAACGTATGATCATTTGTTCTGTATTTTTTGTAGCTAAACAATTATTAAAATTTTGCTATGTTTGATTTCCTATATCTTTAAGGTACTGGAACAACATGAAGCTCTGGTATAAACAAAAGGTTAGTAACTGTGAACTTTCACATCTACCCTCTCAAGGTGATGGGCTGTCAAGCTTGACAGCACTATCCTCCGACAGAGAGCCTCAAAGTGTGTTCCTGGCTCAAGATGTATTTATGTTTTTTACTTATTCTCAACTTTGCGTAGAAAGACGGTGATGGCGAACCGTTGGCTGGTCGCGTAGAAACTCCAGTGTTAAATATTATACCAACCCCTAGTTGTCAATTTAGAGCGCAAATCAGGTTCAAAAGGATTTTGAGAGTGAAATATTTATGAGCAGAAGTTAAACCTGGCCACATCAACGAGAGAAATTGGTGTTTTTATTGTGATCATTTATGATATCCGTCAGAGGGTGGGAAGGAAACCCAGACCCAAGGCCCCCCTCCCCTCTAAATCTCCTTGGACCTATTTTACATTCCCCTCTTAGTTTTGCCAGCTGATACCATGGCAGAGATAATGGATGTTTCTTTTGATAAGCACATATTAATTTTTGTGGGATGATGTTTTCTTAGTTTGAGTTTGTTTTACACAGATTTCCAAGGAGGATTTTGATGCACAAGCCAAGAAATGTCTTGGGAATGATAACCGTAAGTAAATAGCGTCACGATTTACAAATGATTAAAATCTTTAGTTTCCTCACCACTTTCACAAAAGATACTGTTTCAAAACAAATCCATTTTGTGCCACACCTGACAAATTATATCAACCCTTCAACTTGCATGATCTTATTGTTTAATTTTCCCTCCAACTGTTACACATTTCCTGGTAAATTAGTCACAAGAATTTGGTGTTAAATGAAGACAACAACTTCTACCTGATAAGTTCGAGATTTCTCATCACCTGTTTAGTGGATATAGTGTGGATATTTAAGAGATTAAGATTTCTGGGAGTTAAATGGTTACTAAATTTTCTGCTATGATTTTCCTAGTTCTTTATTAAGTTAGGCTTATAACTAAAAAAAATTTAAATACTTTAAAATATAACTCATTAATCAGATGATCAGATTAAACAAGCCTGAAATGTAATTGTATTATTTGGAACAAATTGAAGAGAATGTATCGAACATCATATCCAACCTCATTTGACATGTCCTCTGGAAAAATTAGCTTATGGAGAAAAAATAACTTGATCAAATGAATTTGTATTAAGCATATGGATCATTATAATTCAATAGCAAGAAAAACAACAGATGTCATTGCTTGATATGCCAGCTGCCTGAGACTGTGTGTGGGAGGGGAGATTATGGTTTATTTTTGCAGTCTTAAGATAATTCCTTTCTTCTCTCTTTTGTAGTTCATTTCCATAATGAATTTCTTCTTGCCATTTTGGCAAAATGTCAAGCCCTTGGATCTTCTCCAGGTGAGTCACTGAAAATTAAGACTTTTTAAATGATTCTAACAGAGTTAAATTGCCATTCAGATCTATCATATCATCTTGCAGTAAACATTGATGAAATCAATCTAATTTTCTTCCTGTCTTGTAGCACCTCATCCAAAAACTCCACAGAAGTTACCTCCCAAACCACAGCTGATTAAGAAAGGAAAAATTAAGAAGCAAAAGAAAGTGTTAAGGGCCAATTTTGAGGTACAGTGATTTTCAAGTCTTTGTTTGGGATAATGTATCACTGGTCATAATGAAATCTCATTTCCTCATATTTCACTATACTATCCTTGTCCATGCTCTTTTTGGTAATACAGTATGATACTTGTAATGAAAAGTCAATTGAATAGGTGTTGACTAATATTTTTAATTTTTGGTTTAATCACCAGCAAAGATTTGCTCCATGTGACCCTTTACAGAATGCTCCACAGCTGTCTTTGAAGGTTTGTTTAAACATATTCAGATCATCTACTTACAATCAGATCTTTTCAACCCTTATGACTTCAATATTTTCTCTTTTGCCCCCATTTATTTAACATAGAAACCCCCTCCTTCCCTCCCCCCCCCCCAAAAAAAAACAATGTTGTATCATAATTCCATGAACTTTAAGCTGCATACAGGTAACATTGAATGGGGGAAGGGGGGTTCTTGTTGATGATTTAGAGAGTGGTAGAAACAGGAGTGTTATTCTGCACATGGACAGAACTTTTCAAACATGATATATCAATTAGTTTTGATGCTGATTGTAGTTCCTGTTCATATATTGCTGTGAGCAACAGAAACACAAGTATAATTATTGATTATTATTTCATCTGGGAATGAAATTTAAACAAATTGAAACTTAGACATAATATACATTGTTTTACATGGGTTGCTTGTATTCTCAACCACATATGTTCTTGTTTTTTTGTTTTTTTTAATATGTTTTCTCCTTTGGCTGATGTTGTTGCAATTTCCCATATATAGGGTAAGTACCACTCGTGATAATGATAATAATAACAATAATAATAATAATGATGATGATGATCATAGCAAATACTGTATCCATTTATTAAAACATTGCTAGATTTTTAGTAGAATATTATGAAAAGTCAATGCACATATAAGATATGTTGATTATAGCTAAATGTTGTTCTCAGAGATGTGGTTGAGGGTGCAGACATCTGGGTAAGCACCCTCCCTGGGCTCAATGTGTGGTGATGGTTAGCAGGATACTTTACTCTTGCAGTGCCTTTTGTCAACCAGGAGTGTTAATGGGGTCCCTGTGAACTGTCAGGGAAAGTTGACAAAAAGCTGAGGGGAATAAATTCCAGCAATCTCAGGGCAATTATGCATGTGATATCTCACCTTCTTTTATTGGGGTTCTCCTCTCTTCTAAGCGTTCTCCTTTTCTGGTGGTAACCAGAAAAATTTACTGCCTGTAGTACCTCTTTCACTTCTTAGAATTTATTGGGATTATTGAAAATTTATTGCATAAAAGATTGTTCTACCCATTTAAAAACATTTTACCAGTTGTGCATAAATGAAGGGAGATCACCGTCTGTAATATTATAATTTTTTGATCCATACACAAAAGTTTGGTTAATCACAATTGTGAAAATGAAAAAAGATGTTGCAAATATTGTGCAGTATGATATGGATATTTTATAATGCAAACATGTACAATAGTTCCAGAGAAGCTACCACACATATCCTTGTAAATTGATTTCAAGAATTAGGTGTTCAATCAAGGTAATAAATTGTAGCTGATGAGTTTGAGTATTCTCACAACTTGTTTGCTGTATAATTCATGGATAGTATAGGGAGAATTTACATGGCAATCAGTTGTGGTAGTTAAGGGGTTAACCCTTTCACTCCCACAAGTGACCAAGACAAAATTTCTTCTTACAATATCAATACAATATCAAGCAGATAGGTGATGAGAATAGAGAAGAATATCAATTAGGGGATTATTAGCTGATCCAATACCAAATTCTCTGAGCTAACATCATAAGAATTGTATGGCAGACAGTAAGGAGAATTACTTATTAGGTAGATCTTGGGAGTGAAAGGGTTAAGCATTTTGTGTTTTTACAGAGCTTTCAGAAGACAGTGAGATTGGTCTTTGTTCATATGACTTGATGTTACCGGACTCTGCTACCATATATGGCAGATTGTTTCTTGGTGCTTGGGATGCTGGGTTGGACAGTGTTGCGGATGAAACAGTGAACCTAATGCTTCATGCCACAGAGGTACTGGAATGTCACTGCAAATTTGTCCTAGTGTAATATGTTAAAGGTTGAGTGCACAATGTTCTTTTCTTTAGTAAGGTTTAATCTTTTACTTTGTTGCCTCATTCTTTACATTAATGGTTGAATGTGGGAGAAGCTGTGGTTTTGGTTTGCACTTCTATCATTAAAGAAACTCTATATTAAACATCATTTAACAATAGCCAAGAAATAAATTATTGTGCCCAATTAAAATATTGGAAGAGAAACCTTGATTTTATTTTATCTTGAATTTACAGAGTAGGTAAGAAGTTAATTTCTTTGAAAATTTTAAATAAACATAAACATAGTGTTTAAGGACCCCAAACTAGCAGGAGGCAGACCAGTTGGCTAATTACAAAGTGCAGCCAAGCTGTCAAATTCAAGACAACCACTATTAAATCCAGTGCGTAGTGGGATGGAGGGCTGGCACCAACAGATAACAAGACCAATGCCCTAACCACTCAGCCACACTACCTCTTAGAGAAATATCACAAAGAAGCAAAATAATGTTAAAAAAAAGGGCTTGAAGTGTATCAGTTGAGAAAAAACACATGTACTCAAGCGGAAACTGGTTCTCATTTAAAAATTTCTCAACTTCTAAGTACCTGCAATTTCAATCTTTCTTCCCTATCATCAACATCTCCAACTCAAGACACCCCCAATGCTCATTCCTATTCAGGTTAAATGAATGACATTCAATTATTTTTTTTCTCTTATCAGTACTTAGTGAAAGATATTTTGACAGTTTGCTGCTCAATGAGGAGCAACTTTAGACTCAGGGATGGACATTTCCGCTATGCCATGGGTGGGACCTACCCCAGGATGCACCTCAGAAATAGTACCAGTCCCTGGCCACCAGGTGCTGAAAGGTAAGCATTGTGAATTTTTTAAGGGCGTGTATTATTTCCTTAAGCGGTAGGTTTTATGAATTGTTGAAAATTTTAAAGCAGTCTTGCTTCTGCTTAAGCCCTAGTTCTTGCAACTATAAGAGGAGGCCAGAACAGTTCTGAAATTACACAAGCAACCACCCTACGTATAAACTTTCAAAGGCCATAATGGTTAAATTTGAACGGGAGTTTAATGGTTTAACTTGCCAAAGTTTATCTTGTTTTCTCTAGTATTGCTACTCCCCATTCCCCCCCCCCCCCAAGGTTCATGATTGTCTCAGCCCGTTGTGTCTTGTGGAAGTCATGAAATGACAGCTCGCAAGGTTTTGAAAAAATTAACTTCAAATTCAAGGCGAGCTTAGATGAAAATTCTGATGTTTTATTTCTTTAATCGAATTATTACCTTTTTCATTTACCACATAAGATGATACTCTATTTGGGTGAAGAAGCGAACACACTGGATACGAAAAGCTGGCGAATGAAGCCCCGGGCTATTTTTTTTCCCGCGCAGGGGTCGTAGTTCGCGTCAAACCGTTCGGCCCTACACACGTCAGTTTTCACTGTGATTTTCGATGGGATTGCACGAGCGGCGCGGGACGCGTCATCTGATAATAAATAAACCGTAGTCCTCAGTCACAATCATTTCATGTGAATCGACTTCCGGGCGAATCAACTTACGGGCGGTGAGACCCGTTGCCATGACCCGATGAGAGTTTTAACCCAGGTCTCTCGAAGACTAGCGCGCTGACCATGGAAACCGCCGCCTCCTCTGCAATACGCAAAACATGCAGTTGAGCGCGAGCGTTTCCTCCCTGTAAAAGCGCGCGCTTTGACAACAAAGGAAAAAAGGCCATTGTTACGTTAGTTGCAGAAAAGTTAGCGTACGCAAAGGACACAACTTTCTGTCAGCGACCTTCAAGTTGCCAGTTTTGTTACAGAAAAAGCGTTTTGAGCAAGTTTCCATAGCGAAAAATGGCTTCAACTTCGATTAAAAGCAGACAGGAATCTTCGCGGAATCTTTCCTATAAAGCCAAAAGTTTTGTTGGCAAATGTGAAAGAGAATTCCGTGAACTCAAGCAGCGTGCAGACAAGTACTTTGACGACTTGGACAAAGTCGAGGAGATGTGCCAGCGAGCGAAACAAGACGTTGAGAGAATTCGACTGGAAGCTCAGGCCAAAAAAGAGATAGCAAAAAGAGATGCCGTCTTCCAAGCCAACTTGTATTTTGCTGTCCAAGAAATGACGGGTAAACGGAAGAGGATGAAAGTCAGAGAAGAGACAAGTTAACGCAACCATACTTCTAAGTCTTGGCTCAGTATTGGGGGAGGGGAGGTACTGACTGAACTGAAAGAAAGAAAATAAGAACGAACAATGTGGGTTTTTATGTTCTTCTTACTCAGGAAAATGGTTTCTATGACTTCTCAACTCCAAGATTTTTACACGAAGAAGGAAAACAACAGAAGGGAGATGAAGATAGCAACAACTTCAGCATGAACAGCAAAATACAAGTTGAAATCGATTTTTGTAGAGTTTACGAATCAATCAGGATGTACTAAGAAATAAACAATTTTTCCCCTATCAAACGATGGAATTTTTTTTTGCTTTTCCTCGCGGAAAGTTTATCCAGGCTTTTCTATCAGTTGAGAAGCGAGAAAGAAAAGTTATAGTTAAAAAGCAAGCAAAAGAAAACTAGGCATGTGAGCCCACGAGAAGTGAGCCCGCGCTAAGCTTTCCAGCTTTTGGTTGGCGGAAACAAGCGAAACAGCGTGCGCGAAAAACAGGGGAGGGGCATGGGTTCGGGGAGAGAAAAAACTTCGCTGTGGAATCGACTACGAACAAAAAAGAGCGGTGAAAGTAGAGTCTGAAAAATGCTACTAGCTCTCATTAACGCTGTGGCACGAGCGGCGAGGGCCACAAGACTCGTGTTGCCTCGCGAATCAAGCGTGCGAGAGTCGTGTGTGGGGTCTGGCATGACTTTCGAGCCTAGACACTTGCAAGCTCCTGTAGGACCTCTCACGCTTAGAAGACAACCCTAATGAGAGCCTGCTTTTCGACTCTGATATTCGTAAAAGAATTGCTTCGCGTTTTGAGGTCTGGTACTGCCAATATTGTCAAGAAACTAGTTTAGACTCACCCACATATTTATCTTGTGTTGGTTCAGATCTTTAGGCTGTGTTAATGGTGCTGCCAGCAGTAGTAGCAACAGTGGTCGAACGTTGGAGCAAGCCGAAGCTGAGGCAGCGGTCACAGTTGCCAGCAGTGATAGTACGGGAACAGCTAAACCTCCAATTTCTCTTATGGATCTTAGGGATGCTCTACAGGTAGGTTGGAGATTTAATTATGTCTATAGTTACTAGTGGACTTCAACGAAAAAGCATTTCCTCATCATGTCAATCAGACGAAAATAGTCGTAGTGCCAAATGCGGGGCGAAAACGTCTGTGGGTCTTACTCTCGTCCATAACCTGAGTTGATGGCCTCTTCCGGTTCCTAGGTATCTCTTTTGAGGAGAAGGCTATCTTTTTTCTCTTCTCACATCTGCGGACGTTCGCGTAACGGAGTTTCGCGTTTCCTCCATCGAGATGAACGCCCGGTGGCAAGTTGCCCCTTCCATGCCCTAACATATGATAAGAAAAGCGGAAGGGGGAGGGGAGGGGAAGGGAGATAAAATCAGTAGAAAGGGCAAAGACCGGGAGAGTCCCTTGGTAACCAGTTTCAAAGGATAAAGCGTTACATTTTTAAATTAACTTCCGCAGTTGATAAAATCTTGTTTTTTTCTGCAGGTTCATCGGAGAGTGATTCCCTCGCATACTGTATATTCGGCAAACATCGAGAGAACACTTGCAAACATGTGTCACCCTGGTCATGACGAACTAGAACAAAACCAATTACACAAACTTGAGGCAAGACGAAGATATGAAAGACTGAAACAGCAAAGGAGCTTAAGCTTGAGATTGTAACTAAACGCCTTAGTGTGACCGTCTTCAATCCAGCCGCTGACACTAAAATTTCTACGTAGATTTCCATGAATATTTTACTCTGTCCAAGCCCAAAGAACTAAATTCAAGGCTTTGATGATAGAAGCGACTACCCTTTCTCGCCAACCGACCAAGAAATAAAAAATGGGCTCAAATCTTGTGGTTATTTAGTGGTAATATAACTGAGATAATGAATTTCTTGGCTATCTTTGGACACCTGTTGTGGTTTGTTTGTCATTTGCATATCAGCTGTTCAATTCCGGTTTCACGAAAGGGTAACAAAAGATTTTAATTATATTTCTTTTCTGTGAGGTAAATAAGTTATTGAGCAACATCTCCCGCTTTGACATACCACTCGAGGAAAGCCCCGTACCTTGTCACGTCGGCGTAACTCTTCAATCTTCTTGCGTGACAGTTAACCTGTCACGATAAGACCAGTAAACAAATAAGGAGTTGCCGTTGAAAAGGATACGCACAGGACTACGCTGGAAAAGGAAAAGTGACTGTGTAAACATCTGTTTGGCTGCTAATTTTCTCTAGTAAAGATAAAATGATTATTCAATGATTTGATAATTCGAGTATTTCTATAGCGCTATTTACGCAGAAATGATCATTAGTGCTTTACAATGATTCACCTACAAAACTATTCTACAACAATCTAAGTATACCATGTAAAATGTAAATGATACTTACAATAAATAAAATAATTCACATTAAATAATACTCAAAAACTGAAATAAAATAAAATTTCTGATCTAATACGGTTAAAGAAAAACCCAACCAAAAGGGTAGGTCTTGGGTTTAGCAATTGTCAATGATGGGATTGCACGCAATTTAGCGGGCAAACTATTCAATAAACATGGTGTAGCGGGATAACAGGATATAGCAGCAAGCGTAAAAAGCATTTTCTCTTTAGGTGGCTCCAGTAAAAAGGTGCCATTGCATCTAAAATTGAAAGACGACTTCGATTTAACACTAATTAAATCACCAACATACAGTGGCGCTAATCCGTGAATTGCCTGAAAAGCTAAAACTAATTTCAATTACACTTGAGTTGCACGTGTCTCGCTTCAAGTCTTATTGAAACAATTGTCGTAAAAAACTCTCTAAACCTTTTGCCAGTTTCCTACTTTGTTTACGTAAACATACTTTTTCTAAGGGTGGTTTCGTGTGAGGGGAAAGGAAAATTATTACGATTATGATATCTAGACATGATATTTTACAACCTCGCAAGGATTTTGTAGATCAGTGCATAAATTGTTCAGCTCGGCGACTCTCACGAGAATGTTTCAGTGAAGATTATATTTTAGGTTCCAAGCTTCCTGATAGTCACGTACACGTTCAGATCCCTGGTTAACAGCAGGGTGTCTCGTGCGTCTCTACTTACCGAGAGCCCGGAGAAAGCTACCTCTCATTTCATAGTATGAAATGGCCATCCACCAGAGGAACTTCTTAGCCTTTGTTCCAAGCTCTCAGGAAGCAGACAGAGTTCTTTCCTTTGCCCGTTCTCCCCCGCTCCCCTGAAGTGCCATGCTAAAATCACCGAGGTTGCCTTGATAACCTACCCCCAACAGTTATCAACAATGCGAACAAGAGAAGAGAGAGGTACTGTGGGAGTGGTTTACGCGGTAAAGTAGCCCGAAAGTCATCGCGCCCGAAGTCCTGTCGCCCGAAACTTGTAGTCAGGTCGCCCAAAAACCTAAATCATGTCCTCCGATTTCTATATCGGGCGACTTGACTTTGGACGAGATGACTTTCGGGCGACTTGGCTTGTTACCATGGAAGTCAACGAACACCAACGCCTTCCTTTTAGTGTATTAGCGGAAGTAAAGAGAATCTGAGAAAAGCTCAACGGAGAATTGATTTCTAGCAACGTAACTGGATATGAATCCTTCAAAGGTTTTGCTGCTGCTGCTGCTGCTGCTACGATTCACATCGGTCTAGGGTCAATAGAACGATTTTCCACCAAGTGATTCATAACACCTTTAAACTAAAACCGAGGAAATCACGGCAACCAAACCGAACGGAGACAATTCTCACGAATAACCAATAGGAACTGAAGGTGAACATGTATTAGCGGGAAAACAATAGCAGTGAACAAGTTATACAAGTGATACAGCTTGTAAAGACTTATCTCTGAGTGGAACAGAGGAAAATCCGATGGAATTAGTATATTTTCTGAATTCGGATTACCCGCATTGCTTGTCAGATTGCCATGGATTATTTTCCATACCTGACTAGTAAGCAAGACCGGGCATATGCTCTTAAACTGTCAACAAGTTTTCATTTCCTTTTTCCTTTTTCCTTTTAACACTTTCTTAGAGCAAAAAATTAAGCGTGATTTCTTAGGAAGCATATTGGCGTTCGATAAACCAAACCATCATACCGACCTCCTCTCATTTTCCTCGAAACGAGGTGAAGTTTTCGCTTGAGGATGTGAAGTAGGCTCCTTATAATGAAATCTTCCTGAATATCGAAATTTGCGGGCGCAAAGGTGGATGGGAACGCAAATAGGAAAATGCAAATGTATAAAATTGATGTGTTTAAATAAATTAGACTGTTTACTTTGAAAGAATCTAAAAACAGAGTTTTGATTTCCTCATGTGTTCTTGCCTCTACCAATGGTATGAACAGTAGTATTTTTCCTGAATCACTTTGCTGTTTATTACTGAAGATAGTGCAGGTGTTCCCCAGCTTAAGGTATATCTCCCGCGAAGTATATTGTAACAATTAAAAGAATTTAATTACAATTCTCCAGAGATGCGATTTTAATAAGCGACTTGTCTTGCTCGTTATCTTTAACGATTTCCTTTGCATCTGCAAAATAACACTCATCTATTCATTCGATATCAAAAGTTGAAACTCTATCTGGATCAATTCAAGGTTGTTATGTTCTGAGAAATCAACTCTGATAGCATGGTAAGCTAATGAACGAGCGAGTTCGGTATTGGCTGGGTGTCTCATTAACAGCCCGTGATTAAAACGACTTGATTGGCATTCATTGTGGTTTCCTTGCTTATCATTGGTTGGAATCAACGAGTGGTCTGCCCAAGAAATAAACGAGACTGCCGCCTGTCCCATTTCGTTCTCCGATTGGTTCGTGAGACAATGGCACCTAATTGCAAAATGAAATCCGCGGCTAATATACCCTTTATATTCTAATTGCCTTCGCAGTAACGAAGACCCATCTATTGAGGCGATTCCTAAACGAAGATTTCATCCTTGGATGCGAAACCTTGCGTCGCTCGTCGGCGTTTGCGATCTTTAGATGTGTACTCGTGAAAGCTTTGTCGACGGGCGCGAAAGGGAAGTAAATTTGAAGCTTGGCAAGGAAAATCATCGCGTGAAAGGTAGTTATAATTTCCGATGAGTACGAGCTACAGACTGCGTGTTTGTCACTTCTTGTGTGTTGAATTCGGTCCGATTGAATTTGCTTCATTGTCCTTGTTGCGATTGATTTTCTAAAAGATCACTTATCGGTTGAACGCTTCCGAACCAAAAATCGTATTTTACAGGGTTGAGTGATATTCCCGGGAAATTTAATATTGCCTGCGGAAAATTTGGGCTGCGATTGTGTGCAGTCGAGTACATTGGTTCTCGTTCGATCGTGTTTTTTTCTTAATCTTTTGGGAATTAGGGGCTGTTTTTTTTTCGGTGCTGGTACGTCAGTCGAAGTCTTACTCAACAGGTGCGAAAAATTTACAATTTACGGTGTGAAGCACCACTATAATTTACAGAACAATGTACTTTTTTGCGTAGATTTTATTTTCACCGAATCGTGGCGTGTGTAAGGTTTTGTTTTCAACCGCGTGACCATGCTTATTTGTTCGTGTAAGTCCGAAAGAAAAGCCTTAATTCAAGTGAGTACGTAAACCTTAATTCAGCACTGCGAGATAGTTGAGTTGTTTCGTTGTAGAGACACGTACTTTTGATCGTAGAATTCAGCGCATGGTTCAAACTCGTAAGTCAGTCGACACATGTGGTATCTTACAGTTTATTGTAAAAATCGAATATTTTGTATAAGGTTGCCCTGCATGTGGTGATCAACATTAAAGAAGTTTTTATAAAAACCAAATACAATTTTTTCTTAAATAGATGTCTATGGGACTTTGTTCCTACGGAGTATCAAATATTCTATAATTTTTTGTTTGATGTCTTTGTGCTCGAGTTACTGAATTCGCGTGAAAATTATATTTTCAAGTTATTTATACATATGGACACTGGTGTAAATAGAGTGGCAATTTTTATTTCAAACTTCTCATAAACAGATCTTTTGCTGTTTGCAATTTTCTGATTGATTTAAATTCACCTTTGATCATTACTCATAAATATATTTTTTTTCCTATTCATTGAGATAAATCATTGGAGTGTCCTGTGACTACACTGAATAAGACAAATCAAAGGTCAGCTTTTTTACACACATAAAATCTAGGTCTGTCTCAAATGCATAAAACAGCTTCTGGTGTTATGTTTCCTCAACACTATGAAAAAGATAAAGATATGGGCAAAATTAAATTATTGCTTTCATTACGTTTGTGTTCTTATGAAGCTTACATTTTTTGTTTTAAATGTTGGATGATGCTCTTCGTGGATAAACTTCTGTCCAGTGGATAAAAAATGTAAATCGATTAAACTTAGACCATAGACTACACTCTCTATTATGTAAGCAGCTTAAAAACCTTTAAGGGATGTAGGGAGAACACAAGTCAAAGGCAGGTGTTGAGTGATTAACAATTTTTTTGGGTGTTCTCCTAGCATTCCAAGGAGGTCGCTTTGTTGGATGAACATGAAAAGTGCAGTCTGTTGCTTTCAAACATTAAATTTATAAGCTGTAGTTTTCTATTGATTTACTCCTACAATTAATGATATGTTTTTCAGCCACTCAGAGCTCTTGTGAATTATTTCAGTTCCAACAAAACTTGTTGATAAAAGTGTTCCTCTCATTAACAGCCTTGCCAGAACTATGATAATGTGCTAATGCTTGTTAAGCAAATGATGTGTACAGTGAAACTCAGTAATACAGAGCACAATCATGATTGATAATCAGAGAATAATGAGAAATTGTTTGGAAATGGCTGGGGTGGGTGGGGGAGGGGGAGGGGGGCAGATCATACACGAAGCAAAGTACACAGCCCTTCATAATTTCTCAAATATCTGTTCTGTGGTTTGTTGGTATAAGCAATGCTTCTTGCAATCTTGGCAGTGTCCAGTGTGTCTATAATCAATTGATGGTGATTCATAAGTACTAGAAAGTTTCTCAAACAAGGTCTTATGGCTGATGAAATAGGCAATGAAAAAAATACTTCTTGACTGAATCTAAAACTTTCTCTTGCTCCTTCCCCCCTGCTCTTTTGTTTGTGTAATTGCAATATAGATATATATATATTTATTTATAAAGTGTTCAGAGAAATGTGCATGCCATGATTGGTCAGAACTAGTTCATTATATTTCCATAAAGCATCCGCATTACATCACAGGAGTGCACTGTTGAGATATAATGCATGCAGCCTATGTCATTGGTATGAGCATACACAATTCACAATACATTTTATAAAAGAAAAAGAAAAACTTGTTCCTCGAGCATTGTTGAGTTATATAAGCACTTGGGAATTTTTAAGAACACACAAGAAGTGCAAGAAGCACTTGCCTTCGGCCTGTGCTTC